AAATAATAGAATATTACTCCCCTAAAAAAAGAGGAAACCAAAAAAAAACAAGATAATTAGAAAAGAAATGGAAAAAAAAGGGAAAAGAGGGAAAAGAAAAAAAAAACAAAAAAAAACAAAAAAAACAGCAGATATCGAGTGTAGAGAGGATGATCTGAACGCACGGTTCTGGTAGTCTTCTCTTCTCTCCACCGGGTCCACTGTGATTGATTCGATGGTCTCTTTCTCTCTCTGTTTTTTTCTTTTTCTTTTTCCTCTTCTCTCCCTCAAAAGACGGGGCAAGCCGGGATTTCTGCAGACAACATTCTTCTCTTTCTTCTCTTAAACTTAGTCAGCTTGTTATTTTCCTCCACTGATCGACTTTCCCGCTGCGGCTCAGCGTCATTTCGCTTCACCTTTTTTCCCCTCTCTTAACCGCTGGACTTCTCTGCTAAGTTTCACTGTACGATTTCCCTGTTTTATTTTAAGCTGCCTTATATCCCTCTTTGTTATATATTTTTTGGTCTTTTTTCTTTTTTCTTTTTCAAACGCCATATATCCAGCCTGCATAGGGGTGCGTTTGCTGCACCACCCCAGCCTCCACCTTTCTGTACGTCTAACGCACTTCTCTTCTCAACCCCCCCATCCCTCGACTGGCTGAAACTTTGAACTTTCTCTCTCCCCCCTTCATCTGGCTTCGGCCTTATTTTATCAACCAATGCGCTCCAATTTGAAGGATTCCTTCTTCAATGACATGATTCCTGCATGATCTTTTGAAACGACCTAAAAAAAACTTACGCATTTTCTGTTTAGTTCTGAAGCTACCCCGAACATTGATGTGTTCGATTGACGATTGTTAATGATTCTGATGACCATTGTGCTTCTCTGAATTCGTCTTTACAAAGGAAAAAAAAAGTCTTTATTACACTTCTGTCTAGACCTTTCAAGTCTTTACAAAAAAGGGTTACGACTTACTACGAAAGCTTCAACTACGATATTGCAACGTCCCCTGCATTGCCCGCATCTTGCATCACTTTTACTGCTAAATATCCCCCTCAATTTTTGAACGTTTGATCCTGAAAGCCCGTTCAATATTTCGTTTGCAATTCTTTCTTCTTTTTGCTTCCGTGCAACGTTTGCAAGTTTCTGTGGTTTTCCAATTCTGCAGCCTATATTGATAGCACGCCGGACGATATTTACGTCCGCTTCGCTTCATTCCTCCATTCCTCCATTCCAAACCGTTTATCCGTGCAACCGAAAAGCTGGAGCTGCCGTCGATCTCGCAGGTCCACACCCGCGGTCCTGCTGACATTCCCTGGTACAACCATCACGCGGCGGAACGACCGTTATTGCCCGGTGACAAACTCCCCGCTCTCAGCCTACCGACAGCCACCCAGGGCCTCTCCCGGACCGCCTATCACGATCCGTCCGTGACCAATTCCACCAACTCTAGCGCTCGCACGAGTCTGTCTGGTGCCTCTGTGCCGGTCAACGAACCTAGGAGCCCCCCGTCCTCTACGGACCTGTCTGGGACCCAGGGTCGACTTTCATTAGATTCCTCCGCCCCGACTGAATATAGCCTTCCGCCTTCCGTCAACGAAGGGTACTATCCTAGTCCGACTTCTCTCGGCAGCATGAACCAGGGCCAGCCGTATATGGATGTTCACTCACACATGTCCTCTGCTCAATCATACGCTCCTCAAGGCGCTACCGCAGGCGCTATGTCCCACTATCAGTACCACGGGCAGCCCCCCGTGATGCAGCCCGCGTCTTCTTATGCCCCGGCTGCTTACCCTCAATATGGATACCCCAGTGGTGTGACTTCCCCTCCAACGGGACACCCACCCAGTTCTATGGGTGGCCAGATGCCGGCTCAGTTGTTGCCGTTGCCTGGTAAGCTTCAAAGCCAGAGTGTGGATGAATATTCTGATCGTTATCAAGTGAGCAATCACGCTGTGGCGCCCCCAAGTGGGTATGGAAACAATACCGGTGCTCCCCTACAAGGCTTCGTCTTTGATGGTACTGGTCAAGTTGCTCCTCCGGGAGCTAAACCACGAGTGACAGCCACTTTATGGGAAGATGAGGGCAGCCTCTGCTACCAGGTGGAAGCAAAGGGAGTGTGCGTAGCCCGTCGAGAAGGTGAGTTGATGCTACGGCCGAAAGGAAAAAAAAAAGGTTCGATTTGAAATATGGTTTTGACTGACTTATCATTTTGCAGATAACCACATGATCAATGGCACAAAACTGCTTAATGTAGCTGGTATGACCCGCGGTCGACGTGATGGAATTCTCAAGAGCGAAAAGCTTCGCCATGTTGTGAAAATTGGGCCGATGCATTTGAAAGGTGTCTGGTATGTACTTTGAGCCCTCAAAGTATGCACAGCATCAGTTGCTAACTCTTACTCTTCAGGATTCCATTTGAGCGTGCTCTGGAATTCGCCAACAAGGAGAAGATCACTGATCTCTTGTATCCACTCTTTGTGCATAATATCGGTGGTCTTCTATACCACCCGGCCAACCAAACTCGGACCAACTTGGTAGTGCAAGAATCCCAGCAGCGACGCTTGGAAGGCCCTCCCCCAGGTCCCCAGCGCACCCCGTCTGGGTCCCAGCAACCCCCGATCCACCACCACCACCCATCTCTGCAGACACCCATGTCTTCTCACATGTCCCAAGGCCCAATGAGTGGCCAGCCAGGCTCCAGACCAGGTCTTGAGCGTTCCAACACCTTTCCCACGCCACCTGCTAGCGCATCCAGTCTGATGGGTGTCACCAACCAAGGCAGTTCATACGAATGGGGCGGCCAAGTGCCACACACACAACCCCTGTCTATCGACACCACACTGAGCAACCAGCGCTCAATGCCAACCACACCTGCAACCACCCCACCGGGCAACAACATGCACGGTCTGCCAGCCTACCAAAGTCAAGGTTATGACAGCTCAAAACCTTACTACTCCGCGGCACCACAAACGCACGCTCAATACGCGCCGCACACCCCACTCACCCAATCAGGGATGCCCACCTACGGCCAATCCCTGCCCAGTGGGTACATGAAAAGCGAAATGGCGCCACCAAATCCACGCCCCGGCGCTTCAGAGCCCGAAACCTCCGAGCGCGACTCAAATCGCTACAGCCAGAGCAATGGGCCCGGCGAGGCTGTTGCCGAACACGATCAGGAGTATATGCAAGATCACAGCGCTGGCTACAACTCCAATCGTGGCTCCTACACTTACACCACAAACCCTTCCGTTAGCTCCCTGACCGGCGAGCATTCCCAACTCACCCCGGAGATGACCAGCTCCCCGAGCCAGCAAAATGGCTCCGGTCGCATGACCCCTCGCACGGGTGCTGGCCCCCCTCCCCACTGGGCCTCGGGGTATAACACTCCTCCCCGTCCCGCTGCCGCCACTACCCTGTACAACGCTGTCAGCGATACCCGCGGTACCCCGGCCAATGGTACCTCGGACCCTTACTCCATGGCTTCAACCACTGCTCCAGCTTACACTGCTGGAAATGGTTCACTTAGTGCGGGCAGCAAGCGCATGCGTGAAGATGAGGATATTCGCCCCGAGAGTACAGCGGAATATGAGACATCAAAGCGCCGCAAGACCATCACCGATACCACCCTTGGTGGTCCGGTTGGTGGCCCGCCTATTCTTCAGCCGATGAAGCCCAGCAGTGTCATGGCTCGCCATCGGTGAGTGTGATTTAATTCTGGCTTCTGGCTAGCTTCTGGCTAGCTTGTGGTTTTGATTCTTGTTCTGGTTCTCTTCGGGTCTTGTCTGGTTTTTGGATTCTATTTTTTTCCCCTTCATCTTCTCTATTGGTCTCTTTCTCGGAGTTTGTTTTTCATGATAGACTGCGCATGCACACCCCCGCATGGCGCGTCGTGGCCTTGTCTGTGTCTTACCACGAACACGTGGAGACCGACAGACCTCGGCGGTGTCGAAACGAAACGAAGCTCATTTGTCTCTTGTCTGCGTTTGTTTATGTTTTCAGGCTGAATCTTGCAATATCTAACCTGTGTGGGGAGAGGGAAAAGACCTAGGCGCCAGATCTATTCACCGTCCAACACTAGAACCCCATTTCTTGATACCTCCATGTTGAAAGACTTGTCCCTTGTTGAAGACGTGGATAGTGATCGCAAACCTCGACGACTACGATGTGACGAATCTCTTATGAACGAATTTTCTTTGTGTGATGACTTGACCACGAGCCATCTTCATTAACGAGTTGTTTTATTTTCTCTTTCTTTTTCTTTTTCTTTTTATCATTCATGCTTCATCATTTATTGTGCATTTGTCTTCTGGGGTTTGAAAAGGATATTCTTTCTGGCATGGCCTCGGCTTTGGTTTTACTCCCCTCTCTACTTCTTTGCGCTGCTTTTGCTATTGCTTTTGCTACTGCCACTCTACTAGAGAGATGATTATCATGGTAATGAACGGTTATGAACTCTGGGTTTGCATGCCTTTAGCGACATACAACGTTGGTTTGGGTCCGGTCTAAATGGATTGTTCTTTTTCCGACTTTTGAAGCTCTTCTATAAATGTAGCCGACGTACCAGTATTGATATCATAGACCATCGGGGCTGTTTGTGTAGCTATAAAAAACTTACACTCTGATCAAATCGGCTTGTTCTGCCTACCTATCTAGCGACTGCCAGGCATGCTGTTCCCGTTCGAGCAAGATAGGCACCAGGTTTGTCTCCATCGCAGCTTTGATCATTTCGTTTCAGTCCTTGCACTTGTTTCTACATGTCCATCTAGTCCCAGTATCCCTAAAGAAAATGGTCAAATAGAAGCTATGTAAATTGTCTGAGGCTTCAATATACTTTCCTCACATACTTCCCACCACGTGACCCAATCTACCCTATTTAGCCCAAAACAGCAAAATCAAAACACGTCCAAACCATGGTTCCTTCCGCTTCACGCCACGGCGACTTCTCGCCAAATTCAACTTCAAACATTAACCGAATCTTAGCGCACCTCACCCCAGTCAACGTGACCCTCAAATAACGAATGGAAACCCAAGCTACAGACCCGCAAAAAGCAAGCATGACCACCGACCAACCAAAACGAGCCGCAAAACCACAAACTCCGCAACCGCAAAACCACCGTCATTTCGACCCCTGGCAGTCAGCCTCAACAGGACACCAGCGTGCAGCTGAAGGCGGCGGCTTTCTTGGCTCGACATTATGGCGGGATACGCGGTCGGAGAAATTAACCAGGCAATATCAAAGCGGGGATTGTCTTCCAGGACGGGGAGTGGGACTGGGAGCGGGGAGCAAAGAAACACAGGAGTCGACACTCTTACCCGGCGCGTTCGATGGAAAATGCGCGCAGTCACCGCCGCCGCATAAAGCTTCTGGTGAATGGGCTATGGTAGCTGGGGATGTGGCTAAGCGGAATGAACTCGGCGTTCGGGATATACGGTCGTTCATGGGTGTTAGCAAGAGGAAGGCTATGGATGATCTGGTAAATGATACTACGACGGAAACGAAAAAGGTTAGGACTGTTGTTGGAGGGAACCTGAGTTTGAGTCCGACGAGAGATACAAAGGAAGGGGAAAAGGAAAAGTCTCAAATAGAAGACAAGCCCCAACCCGAGTCCCGATTTGACTCCAGCCTCGATCTGAAATCGACATCAAATATCTTTGTCGGCGTTACGATCTTCATCAATGGCTCCACCCTCCCTCGAATCTCAGAGTATAAGCTGAAACACCTACTCGCGTCGAACGGGGCTAAGAGTTCTATCTACATGGCCCGGAAGACGGTGACGCATGTTCTCATCGGACAGCCTAATACCGGGGCTGGAAGTGGAACAGCTGTGTCTGGTGCAGGCGGAGGTCTTGCCGCGGGTAAGCTTCAGCAGGAAATTGCCCGTGGGGGGTGGAAAGGTGTGAAGGTTGTTAGTGTGGACTGGTATGTACTAATCAGGATGCTGTTGAATGACCAGTGAGTGATTCTTTCTGACATTGGACTTGTAGGGCTCTCGAGAGTATTAAAGCTGGGCGTCGTCTTGCCGAGTCCCGGTTCCCTGGTATGCATGTTGCGGCTAAAGGGCAGCGGAGTGTTGCTGGGATGTTTGGTGTGCAGGGGGCGAAGAAGTGATATTTTTACGTGGATATGGTTGACATTTAGCGACTTCGTTTTTTTCCTTTCCTTTTTTGGTTTGCGTTGCATTGCATATGGCATTTTGCCATGCATGGCGTTTTGGATAGCCATGATTTTCTGTCAGTCTTCTGGGTTGGGATGAATCTTCCAACTACACGTTAATGATACCCAATGAGCTGTGATCACGAATCTAATCTGATCGTTTTGGCTATGAAATATCTGCTTTACCGTTGCCGATATAACTTATAATGAATTTAGACTTCCAGTGCTACTTTCAACTTGACACTTGTACTTGACATTCTCATTTCATTAATCAATCATGCGGCGTTATCATGACATCCATTATGTACAGAAACAAAATCACAATCACAATCACATACATGTACAGATCGGTGATAAAACCGCATTCGTTCGCAGAAAAGTCAAAAGAAAAAACATCAAAAGAAGAGAAATATCAACAAAAATCCCTCAAAGCGCCATAGCCATGCAAAATACAATGTGAGAAAGAAATCATGATATATGCGTCATAAATCAGAATCCCAGCATGGCCATATAAGCCAGATACATCGCAAAGCACTCTCATATTCACCTGAATGAACTTCCTCTACCTCCGCGCGCGGCATACGTCTCGCCATCATGGCTACTGTTGTCAGACAGATGCCGACGCCAGCCGCTCTGTTGGCGAGTCGGGTAGGCAGGCGGGGGGTCGTTCTGGCCTTCTGTCTCGCTAGAGAGGGTCGTTACCAAATCAGATTCCGAAGATACTGATCTCAAGCCCGATGCATTGGTTGCGGTGGGCACGAGATCGAGTGTGGTGGTGGGCGTGATAGTATCAGGGAGTGGAGGGAGAGGATTTGGATGGCGATGCGTAGAGAAGGAGGATTGGGCGGGAGGCGGGGCGCGAGAATGGGGATGGATAGAAGAGTTTGTTCGTGTGCGGGTTCTGCTGCCGCCCCCCCTCAATGAAGGGTGCTTCCAGCTCTCTTCTTCGTGGGAGAGGGGTTCTGGGGATGAGGTGGTTTGTCGGTTGGGTGGGAGATAGTAGGGGTTATTGGAGTCAGAGTAGTCGTGGTGGTTATCTTCGTAGGCGGGGAATGCGGCGACGGAAATGCTGGACACAGAATTGCCGTGTGAACGGCCTGCAAACACGGGCTGGGGCTCGCCAAGTTCTGACTCGGCACTTGACCAGCGGTCTAGCTTTTCATTCAGAGGTTCTTCTTCTGGTCGTGGATGGTGTGAGTCACCGTGGACGAGACCGAGTGATTCTTCCTCGGTTGCAGATTTGCGCAGATCGGCTGCCAGATGTGATCGGCGTAGGATGCCACGAGTCGGCGAGCCTGGTGTGGGTTTGACGGAAGATACACTGTCGGCCTTTGTACGACCCATCATGTTATTGAAAGAGAACTGGCGGCGGGTAGTGTTGGGGAGAGGTTCGGGTGCCAGAGATTCGGGCTTTTCGTCTGCCCATGATATAGACCGCGGCGTATCACTACGCGGACTGTTTGGGTGGAGAGGAGCCTCCAAACCTCCTGTCATACCGGCACCATGGTATCCAGTGTCAGCATTGCCACTTTGGTGGGCCATGTCTGCCATTCCCATCGATTGTGTGTTGGCGTCGGTATTTCTCTCTTCTTCTGTATTTATGGCCTTCCACTGGGAAGGATGAAGCACGCTGCTAGCTCGGGATCGGATGTTATCCATGAAAGAATGACCGCTTTGCTTGGTATTAGGTCGGTGATCCTCCTCATGCTCATCAGTGGGCAACCGGGACATGCCCCACGGTGGATGTTGTTGTTTGACCGAGGGTGTCCGTGGAGTGATTGGTCGTGACATAGTTGGTCCCTCGCCAATGACGGTCTTCCGCCGGCGCAGGCCATCCCATTCAATTATCTCATTCTCGCCTGGCACCTTCAGGGTATCCTCATGCTTATCATGGAAGAAACGGCGGGCTTCATCTGATTCCATAGTGCGGCGAGCAGTTGAAATGCGACGGATGATAGAGGCCGCACCTCGAATGGAGTCTGCCTTGGGCTCAGACTCGGGCTCTTCTACCGCGGCAACTTCCCGAATCTGATCCAGATCGCCTTTGAAAATAGCGGCGTCGGGGACATCCTTGGCGGACTTGGATAGCTGCAGCAATACCACACCGGCACAGATTTGGAAGAACCCAATGATCACAGTTGCAATCTGGATTCCTGTGCCCTTGAAGCCCTGGAACAGAATGGCGGAAGTAATAATGGTGGCGCTAGTGAACATCACGTAGTAAGTCGGAGTGACTAGAGCGGCATTGAACAGATTTAGCGCTTTCTGTATAGCAGAATTAGTACAGCAATGAGACACGAGGAGAGTGAAGACGCACATTAAGATAGATAATCTCGGTCAGCAGTGTCCCGATAACAAACACAAACAAAACGTAGAGGAACCAATGCTTGAACTGTTCCTCGCCATTAATCTGAGCGAGAATAGCAGACCCCAAGCCCTGAGTAGCCACGACACTCAATCCACCAACCATGCTGCAAATACTGATGTAAACAAACATGTTCGACTTTCCATATCGTGGACCAACCCAAAGAGCTGTGAAAGCAGCTCCAATAATGATCACCCCAGCATAGACCAGAAACCCAGGCTGGATAACAAAATGCTGCATGCTTTGAATATCCTTGACAGACGACTGCTCAGGCGCATTCATAGCAATAGTCACCGATCCGATAATACAACAGAAACAGCCAACCTTCCCCACGAAACTAAGCCGTTCCTTGAGAAAAATCGCCGACAGAACCGTCGTAATCACAACCGAGAGCGCACCGAGCGGCGTAACCAAGATCGCATCGACGAATGCATACGCCACAAAATTGCAGATCTCTCCAACAATCATCAGCGTCATACCAGTCCACCACCAGAAATTCTTTAGATATCCATATCCCTCGCCGGCCTCCTCATTGTACTTCACGTTCGCTTTCAGCAGCCCGATTTTCTTAATAACAAATGAGATACCGATAAAGACGCCCGATGCGACAGCTAACGAAATACCAACAGCCTTGTAAACCGGCGGACGGCCTTCGCTTTCCGCGCGTGCGAGGAGATTGTTTGCATGCGATAAGGCGTAATTGGGATCCATGATTGTGGAGGTTGGAAACCCACACTGACCAGCAGTGGGAAGAGGCGAGGAAGTGTGTCGCGGGGACAGAGAGCCGTCCGAAGACGAGACTCAGCGACTACCTGAAACACTTATCTGGACCCCACGATATCGATAAAGCCTGCGCGTATCGCCCGGGCGACTATCAATGGGGGCTGCAGTAACAACACCGATTCCGAATGTCGCAACGAATTTTGTGATGGGAGGAATGTGATTTGGAATATCGGCGATCTGGAAGTGCTTCTGGAAAATTTCCACGAGGAAAGAAAAGAAGAATGTGGGAATTCCGTAAGGGGCGCTCGTCAGCCGTTGGGCGCTATGACTCTCGGTGGCAATAGCAAAGATGGGATTTTGAGGATATCAAGAAAGTAGAATCTACTTTGGACAAAGAACCAGGAAGAATCGCAAAATAATACAATTAAAGAAAAGAAAAGAAAAGAAAAGAAAAGGGGAAAGGGGAAGGGGAAAGGGATCGAGATAACAAAGAGGCTGGGTGTGGGGAAAAGGAGGTACTGCTACATCTGGCGAGGGCGGGCTGAGCTGCGATCGGCAGGTACAGGTACCTTTAGGCATCGGCTTATATGGCTTAGGTTATGGCTTAATTTATGGACAAGGCCTTTGGTCAGATATAGATTGCAAAGATCAACAGGATGGCGATTTACTTGCATAGCCCCTACATGGTATATTGCATACGCCTATTTATGGAATAGATGAACTTATATCTTGAAACCCTTGTTTTTTGTTTCTTCACACAGTTACTGTACAATATACAGACCATCAATTCCCACATTTGAAGTCTCATAAATGTCGTCATTCATTATGCCCAAGGCCACCACAGGCCATCTTTCGCAGGGATTCAACTAAGATAAAACCCATAAAACAGGATTGCATGCGCCCAAGACGCCTTATCAACCCTAACCAGCCGTCTCAACAGAGGGGTATTCAGCAGAAAAGCCACAAAACAACATAATGCACATGTAAAAATTGAAAAAAAAGGCCACAAGATGAAAGCACGTGAGAAGGAATCACCGCACGTGGTAGCTGGGCTTCCGTTGCCGGTTCACCGTTGGTGGCGGCTCATCAACTGGATAGGGAGGTCGGACTTTGGTATTCGAGTTAGACGATGGTGCTTGGGAGAATAGCGGTGCAGGCATAGCTACACCACCGTCATCTTGAGCTGGATATGGGATGGGTGTCTTGGGCGGCACTGGTGGCGCCATACCATTGAATGTAAAATACTCATCACTGCGTGAGGGTGAAGTCTGTTGTTGCGAGCTTGGCCGGCTGGCAAGCTCGTGGCTTCGTCGATAATCACTGCCAGATTGCCGGGGTGGGGAAGTAGATACGCTATCCTGAGGTGTTGGGTGAACCGGGAGCGTGTCATCCGGTGGTGATGTAGTCACCACAGTTGGAATAAGTGGCGGCGCTTGCGAAGGTGGATTGTGATGCGCGAAGTCCAACTCAGCAGGTAACTCCGCGGGTAGTTCAACGGCGAAGTGCGCAGGGGGTGGAACATGTGATGGAGCGGGAGAAGAAAGCGAAAGCTCTTCGTTCTCAAGATCAAAAGACAAGTCGTCGCGATCCCCGCCAGCTGCAGTGTGGGTCGCCAGACGGCGGTTCATGCGCTCGATCTTAGCAAATCTGACACCTGCTTCTAAAATCATCTTCTTGACTTCAGGTCTGGCTAGATACTGCCGTGTGTTGGTGCTGATGTCGGCTAGTCGGTTCCATTCGTTCATACCAAACTCGCCAACGCCGACCTCGACGTTGAGGCGGAAATAATTGTCTTTGCTGACATTGCGTTTGGCAAGACGGTCTCGAAGCATCTCATTGTGGATATCCTCGCAGCCTTCAATCTTCATCATTAGTCGACGCCGCGCTTCAGCGAATGTGCCAAAGGAGTCGCCGAAGAAATCCTCCCACCATTCATGTTGTCGGTTGTTGGTACCAGGTGGACGCTTTCCGGTTCCCACACTAATAAAGACCCCAACTTCCCGACCTGGCCACTCATTCACAACAGCCTCATCAAGGATCAGCGGTGCGGGGTTGAATGTGCCATGACCCTCATCAATAAAATGGTGTTGGCCAATCTGGATGGGCTTGAAAGCAAGTCCCGTTGCAGATGTCGCACGTCCTGCTTGCCAGACTGTGCAGTCAAATTCAGGTGGAGGTTCTCGGCGGGAGTCATAGGACCGTAGAAGGACAGCCGTTCCTTTGCGCGGGGTGCCCTTGTACATAGCAGTGACCGCACTATATTTCGTATCAGTACTAGTGACTCATGTTTTTTGCATTGTAGAACTCACGTTTTCGTCCGATTTTCTCGCTTATCATAAAGCAGCGCGTTTGGATTACCCCAACGCAATCCATTAAGAAAAACGGATCCTCTTTGGCTTGTCGGAGACATTGGATGTGAAGCAGGAGCGGTGCTGAAACTGCCCCGACTGATAGAGCGTTGTGGAATAGAGGCTGGACTATATGGCAAGCTGGCCATAGAAGCCATAGAATCACGAGTGGGGGCGTTCCCCGTATCATTTCCCTCCGCCTCGAAGACTGTATGTTCCCGCACACATTCCCGGATCGCCTCCTCGAGTTTTGACGCCTTGAATAAAGTGGAGCGATAGGGAATACCAGCAATGGTCTTGTCGGTCTCAAATACTTTGCGAGTCATGCGCACGTATACTTCTTTGCACGTCTCGAGATCTAGGCGGAGGCGACCGAGCATAAGGGCGATCAAGCCTCCAGTGCCAGTACCGGCGATCAAATCGAAGTGATCGCAGGGTTTGGGAATCTGGTCGCGACGCGGAGGCTTGCCTTCACATTCAACATAAGTGCGGTACATGAGTTCCTGGAGAAGAATAAGCATGGAGTATCCACGAACACCACCGCCATCTGTTCAGGTCAGCTGAGTCTGATATAGGCTGGGAAGAGAGGTAAGTATTGTACTGACCTAGCGATAGGATCCGCAGCGGCGGACCCTTGGTGGTGTCCTTGCGACGAAGATGGTCTGGATCCATGGCGTTTGTAGCAGTTATGCTTAGGAACAATTACGATCGCCCTTTTTTCCCTGCTGCCGGCAGCTTACCCGCGGCGGGGCTCAGCGACGCCTTATGCACCGGATTGCGGGATGTTTGGCGCCTGACCGATCGGGTCTTGGAAAGAGGTAGAAGTGTCACACAAGTGAAACACGAGTCGAATGCAGCTCTAGTTGGATGCGTGACCGGTCAACGTGAGAGTCGCGGTTTAGTGTGGACTCCAGATACGCGGCTTATGGATGATTGGAGGGGCTTGAGCCACAGTCCCTGAATAGTTCGGTAGGGCTGGCTTAACCACAAGGTAAATGTATAAGTTCAGTTGCGCAAGTTAGTAAAAAATTGTAATACGAAGTTGGGAGTTCAAAGTTATTGCAAAGCAAAGTTATTGGAAGTTATTCTTAGAAATCGAATCCATACACTTGCCTTTCCATGGATCAAAAAAGTCAGGTGATTTGGGGCAATTGGTGGCGGTGTATATGATGTAATTGTGGCTGTGTATCCACCTATCAAATTACTTTCTTCCGCTTCTCACTCGGGTTTCACCTAGTATGCGTAAAGAAACAAGAGTCATATTATTGTTTTATTTTCAAGAGTCCAGCAGTTCAGCTGCAATTGTTCTGGGACAAAAATTTTGCCCGAAATATCTCTACATTAATGATTTGTTCCTGATGATAATCATTTCCCCAAACCTCCAACATGACGTCAATTTTCTAGATATCTACCGAGTACTCCGTACCTTTATACACACCGAGCTGGACACATGGACGAGGTATAACCAAAAGAGAAACCTATTTATTTTCAATTCGTCAGGCCAGGCCAATCTGAACAATCCAATTAGCATTCACTCCCACAATCCCACAGAAGGAGAGAAACACTCACCAAAAGTAGACCTTCTAGTCCCTTTCTCGGCAACCGCAACCTCATCCCCGACCCTCAGATTAATCCCCTCGCCCTTGGGCTCTAAGAAAGCATACCTACCAAAGACAGGACTAAACTTCGCCCCAGAATCCACTCTGCGATCCTTCATCAACTTCTTAAGCACAGCACCAGACTCACCAGTCCCCATCTTCCCAGTCTCGTAATCAACATTAAGGCTCTGACAGCGTACACAATTTCCTGTTAGCAAAAGCTTGCTTGATCCACGCACTGATCCAGCGCCCATAGTCAGCGCCCCCCAAAAATCCTCTTCGAAAGCCTCCCCAGCCCCCGAAATAACAATATTAGGCCGGAACTTCGTACGGTCCATTTCTTCCCCCTCCGGTAGCCGCGCTGAGACATCATCAACGGATGTCTCGGATATAACAAGATAGGGTGCGCAGTCTGCGAAAGTAATGCGGTCTTGGTGCTGTGCGTATAGGGTATAAAAGCAATATAACACCGCCGCACTAGCGGTGAAAAGGAGCGTGGGTGTGAGACTGCGAGCTGTTTGAGGGGTTATCCCGTCGCGGACAAGTGTACTGCCCTGAAGGAGTACATTGATCGCAGAAGCTACAATGAGAATCGGGAGAACCCGCTCCCATTTCCTGTCGGGATTTGTTAGGCTTTCACGTATTGTACGCAGCGCCGTCTTTTTGTCTTGCTTTGCTGGCGCGAGTGTGCCAAGCACTTCTCTTGAATTCGGTCCAAGGTAGGCTAGGACTACAGGGTACCCAAAGCGGGCGCTGAACCAGTCATTGTACTCTGCACCCATGTTGTATCCTATTGTTGGGCTCTGGTGCATTACGACTTCGAGGCGGCTGAGGGTTTTTGGGTTAGGCTGGAGTGGAATTTCCAATCGGGTGGTTTCGCGAGGTTTGGGAGCTGATTTTGACAGAGGAGGGTGATACGTGATAATTAATTTCCCGCTGTCCTTCTCTGTCTGCGGATACTCGATGTTGGTGTGGAAGAGGGTCATCTCTGGGAAGTGCGAGACATGCATGTTCTTCAGGATTGTGGTGTCGGAGCCATCCTCAGCTGGGGCAACTTTGAGGAGCATGAAGTGGCGGTCATATTGAAAGCCGCGTGTGGTGAGGATTCCTTCTGTGATTGTTGTCGGTCGGAGGGATTTAATTGGGTAGACATAGAGCTGAGGGTTGGTTAGTATTCTGTTTTCTGTCTTCATCGTAATTCTGTGTTCATACCTGGCTGACTTTCATGATTGTAGGTGGAACGCCGCTCAGAATGAGAAGAAAGCAGTATATCGCACCTCGATGTAGTAGTATGAAAATTATTTGATAAGGGGGAAAGAAGATGATGACATCGTCCCCCGATTTTCCGCATTAGACTTTGCGGAGTAAAACCCGCCGGACTTGTTCATTTTGTAGATAAAAATTCAATTCTTTTTTTTTCTAGTCTCAAATAGAAAAGTCTTCAATCATATTCGTTTCGAAATCATGCAAGGAAATATACAGAGGGAATCAAGAAAAAAAAAGAGAAAACGTCTACTGGTCCTCAGCCCACGGCAAGCTGAAGGTACCAACCCAATCCTCGACCTCTTGGCGGAGCAGCACAATCTCCGAGATCTCTTCACCCTCGCCCACGAAGTCCAAGAAGGCCTTGACAGTATTAGGGTTCTTGACACCGCGAGACTGAGCCGACTCACGGGCAGCCTTGTCCAGCTTCTGTGTGATGGTGACCGCACGATCGACAATATCAGCGACTCGGACGAAGTCCTCGGGCTGGAAGCCACGGGAGGTCATGGCTGGGGTTCCCAGACGCAGACCGCCAGGCTTGAGGGCGGACTTGTCACCGGGCACAGTGTTCTTGTTGCTGGCGACACCGCACAGCTCGAGAACGCGCTCAACGCGAGCACCGTCCAGGCCGCGGTTCTTCAGGTCCACTAGCACCAGGTGGTTATCGGTGCCACCGGATACAATGTTGTAGCCAAGTCCACCATTGCTGGTGGAATCACCTAGGCGCTTGGCCAGAGCAGAGGCGTTGAGAAGCACTGTCTTCTGGTAGGCCTCGAAGTCAGGCGTCTGAGCCTGCTTGAGGGCCACAGCCAGCGCGGTGATAGTGTGGTTGTGAGGGCCACCCTGGTGGCCGGGGAAGACGGATGCGTTGATGGGGTTCTCGAGATCGTACATGACGGGGTTGCCCTTCTTGTCGGTGCTACGCACGCCCTTGCGGTAGAAGATCATGGCGCCACGTGGGCCACGGAGAGACTTGTGGGTGGTGGTGGTCACGACATCTGAGTAGGGGAAGGGAGATGGTAGCACGTTGGCAGCCACGAGACCGGAGATATGCGCCATATCAGACAGCAAGTAGGCGCCCACGGAGTCGGCGATCGCGCGCATACGCGGATAGTCAATCAGACGACTGTAGGCCGAGGTGCCCGCAACAATCAGCTTGGGACGGTATAGTGTTGCCGACTTCTCCAATGCATCGTAGTCAATAAGACCGGTCGACTCATCGAGGCGGTAGGGGAGGGTCTCGAAGTATTTGGAGATAGCAGAAATTTTCTTGGTAGGGGTCTGGTAACCGTGCGACAAGTGACCACCGTGGGGAAGGTCCAGGCCCATAAGGCGGTCGTGGGTATTGAGGAGGGCCGAGTAGGCCATGAGATTAGCGGGCGAGCCGGACAGGGCTAGAGTGAGTTAGCTTCCCATATATTATTGCACCAGTCAACTGTATCATACGTTGAACGTTAACTCCCCATTCCTCCGGGTTCAGACGGAAGGTTTCTAGGGCGCGCTGCTGGCACAATCGCTCAGAGGCATCAATGTGTTCGTTTCCTCCATAGTAACGGGCACCGGGGTATCCCTCGGAATATTTGTCTGAATTACGGTCAGGATGGTCTGTTGGGCAAGCAGAGGCGGTCACCTGCAGTACATACTTTGCATAACACTGCCGAGGGCATCGAGGACAGCTTGCGAGGTGAAATTCTCGGAGGGGATCAGGTTAATGAAGTGCTTTTGACGTTTTTTCTCCTGTGATGATTTTAGCAGCTGGTCGGTCAATTGGTGAGCTCTCCATTATCGATGACGCACCTTCTGCAGGATGCTATACACGGCGGGGTCGGACTCCTCTAGGGAGGCCGCGAGCAGCTATTAAATGGTTAGTCTGCATGTTCTGCTTGCAATTGAATCGATTCCGGCCACAAACCTTGTGCTGCGTGTCGCGGGTGGACGACGCTACTCCCCGCGATTGGGGAGCCGATCTGGGCACGATAGAGGCGCGAGCGGAGACAACGGCTGCCCGGGAGCTCCCAAGGGGGAGCAAGCGAGCAGCTGATCTACCACAACGAGACAAATACATGATGATGCAAGAAAGTCAATCCTCAAGGGTATTATGTACTTAGTCGATAGGAAAGCGTCGGCTTTTAAACGACTGTTGCTAGTCGGACGAGCAATGGCACCTTTCCGTTGCCCGCGGAAAGCGGGAAAAATGCACTAGTCCCGTTTGAGCTCTCCGCCTGGTCCGTGCGCTAACTGTTGATTTATCTTCGCTCGGCAAAATTCCTCCCTCCTTTTCTTCTTCACACAACTAAATCCAAGATGAAGAAACGGCGTCTTAATCTGTATCAGCACTCGTCGGTGACGGCTGGACTTCGGTCTAGCTGGCGCTGGACGGGCGCTGCTGAAATGTCCCACGCCCCTTAACCATCCTTTGAGGGGCAAGTACCATCGGATTGGAATTGTTGTGTTGGTTGATCTCCCAAGGTCGGGATTGGTCTGGCGTGTCAGATCCATATCTCTACGAACCCCTTCGTGGCAACAGTTCTCTTGTCGCATTGTCGACACTCTAGTACAGCAAGGAGATACGATTCCCGTATCCTCCGAGTGACTCTCGAGTACAACTAGTTCACAGTATATAATCACTACTATTAGTCTTGACTTGATCCCTTCCATCTTCCTGTCTCACATTCCCTTGTATGCACTCGACCCTCACAAGACGGGGCGTTCTGAGATTACCTACTTTGTCTAGCAAGGGATCAGGGGCGTTGATACACAATCCAAAGAACATACAACACATAAGCCTTACCCCCTCTAGGGCTCTACTATTGTAGAGGGTAATAATGGTAATGAAGATCACTAACTACACAATCCACTACGGAGTACGGAGTAGTTTTTCGGAATAATGTATAGACTTTAAGCATGATAATAATATAACTATATGACCTTGTTCACCCCTATTCCATATCCTATCTCTGGTTGTCACGTTGCCTAACTTAATACCTATCTATGTTGTACTCATAGTGTAGTTTGTCATGACATATAACCCGCAAATAAGATTCATACCTAATGCTAGCCTGGGGGGAAAACGCATAGTAGCCATGAATAAAATCCAGTTCCGACCCCTTAATTCACCTTCTGTAAAGGTTCCTGCTCCGCCTAGCATAGTATGCGGCAAGCCTGATTTTCCAAGGTTGGCTTCTTGAGTTAGTGATCCCATCCTAGAAATAGTGCCAAGTTTAAGCAAGAGCTTCTCCTGCGAGATAGTCTGTTTATCAATAACCCTTAGCATAAGCAAAAGGATATCGAAATATTGTCGTTTTGAAGTTATCCCTAGAGGATATGGAGTTGTGAAGGCAGCAGACTCCCCAAGGGATTCTGTGCCTTGTTTCAACAAGAATTGCACGAAATCGTCCGTATATTTTTTAGCCCTGGCGCAACCCCTCTCGCGATCAGATGACCAAGAAGCGACTTTGCTAGAGGTGATTTTCTCTGTTCACTGCACGCCTTGTGCTCTGTTGACAAATTCATAGTACTAGTCGCATCTGTGCCTGTACCTGTCTGTGGCGTTGGGGACGTAGTTATCGCCATTCCCAGTATGTTTCGATCTCCTGGAGAAGCGGATGGAGAATTCAACAATCTTCTGCAGCAGAAACTTAGACAATGGGAAATTTAGTTTACTGACAACGATCTTTATAGCTCTCTCGACATCTAGGCTTTCTGAGCAAACATTCAGTCCATGGCAAAAGACAAAATCTTGTCGTTGCTTCACCTGCCATCACCGCTAATATTAGCAGAGTTTTAATCCCAACTGCTATCTCGGTCAGGAGTTTGCAATAATATCCACTTTTCAAGGATAATTTGGACTGTTTCGGTGTGACCGCTTTTCAGGGCCTTTTGGAGGACAATTGTGCTTGTGGGTGCTCGTCCTGGGCACTCAAACTCATGACGGGTTGAGATAATCCCACCCGTCGCTGGAACCCGGTCGAACTTGATTATGACTTTTGTTGCTGGCAGTGATATATCTGCACCTCGATCAAGCAGAAGGCGGAAGATCTCTGGATATGCTAGAGTCCAACGTATGCACGGCAGATCACAAATCTCGAACGAAAAGCACACATCATCAATTCCATTTCTCTTGGAACGCCATCGTCCTATTCCCTTTGGTTCGGCACCGTGGTTGAAGAGGGGCTCAACAGTATTCAGACGCCCTGATGCAACCACGTACAGAAGTGGGAACGGTTCTTCGTACTTCGATGTGGGCTTGTAGCCATTTACCAATGGGAGCACACTAATGCCGGGCGGTTCCTCAGGCAATGGATTCGCTCTATGTGCAAGTAGCAGCTTAACCAGGCTGTGCATGACGGACCTAACGGCTGTATCTTGGGGAGAACTCCCCCCCCCCCCCCCCCCCCCCGTCTTCAAGCAGGAATCACACCATATCGGTAGCTCCTACCTCGATTGTTGCCTATAGAGCATCTCGCTCTTCGACAAGATCAATCGATCCAAGACCACAGCTATTCTCCACAAGAATTTTAGCGATACCAAGGTGTCCTTTCTTCGCTGCGTTTTTCAGCACTTCCGTGAATATTGGGCGCTCACTGACCGCCCCATGATCAAGTAATAATTGGACTATTAGCTCAGAGTCCCCGGCTTCCTGGAGCAGATTGAGATCTGGATCGCTTCAAATGCCGGAGGTGTTCGGCACAAGGTCCCAGTATGCAACTCGATTCGGATCGATACCATGCTCCAGCGGAAGCCGTGTGACGGTGTGCTGGCCCCTATATGACGTGCAAGTACTCTCATCATTTGTGACATATTTCTTCCGGGAGCCTCTCTTTGAGTGCGAGTTGTACAGTTGCTAGGTTGTCATTATCGGCTGCCCAGAGCAGGGCACAGTTGGAGTAAACCTCGGTATTCTATTGATAGAGAGAGGGATTCAGGAGCCGGTATAGCGCTCTGCATATTCGGACAAAAGAGTTAAGAGACCACAAGTCTAGGGAGAAAACATCTGCCAGTTGATTAGCTCTGAAGTTGGGATCTTGTTAGGAACAGAAAGTAAAGAGTCCCCATTGATCTGATACGGACTGGAAAATGAGGTGGATAACCTCAACTGGTAGATCTAGAAGATGTATTTTCGACCAGAAAAGTGTAACAAAGTGTATCTTGGGATTTCCAAGATTAGTTCAGAGATGTATGTTTAATATGTAAACTCATAAAGCGGGCGATCAACTGGTTGTAGTCGGAGTACATCATTCTTGCATAAGCACAATAGTACGGCCCAGGGGAAAGAAGCTTGGAAGTACCTAGGTAATTCGGGCTCTGTATTCATTTGTCATCTTTCTATATAATCTGAAGAGGGAGAAAAACGGTTTTTACTCAAAAGACATATAAAACAAAATAGAAGACATTAACTGCCTATTTGGTCTTTTGATATGCATAAAAAGAATATAGCCAAGACTTGTCTAAAGGGTTAGAGATGACTAAAATTAGATTAGATCTTCTATGGTTGGATCATTTCTATTTCGTACTTGTGTCAAGATTTGACGGAGTATTCCATATCTTTAAAAATGAGCTATCAGAGGAGGTTCTTATATAAAGATCTCATACGGAGTACGGAGTACAATATCAACAGATCAAAAATTTCAAATGCCAAATGATAATCAGCCGATCGTAGCACCTAGAACAACAATGGCCAATGCCCAGAGAAACCCGTCTAACCCTAGTAGTCCCACTATTTCCTAAATGGGAAAGGATTCACCGGGGCCACCTCGAAACCGGTTCCCTGAGAGCGTGCGCTTAACGGGAAGAAGGGGACGCTAGGGAGAAGTGACTTGAGTCTTTCATAATAATTTGACTATAATAACAAGTACCTTTTTCAAATTACACCCAATCCACCTTTTTTTATTGCCACTTTGTTGTTTCTCTGCCCCTTTTCCCGTTTTTTTCTCCCAAAAGTCCCCTGGTCCCTGTGCTTTAGTGGCACGGGTACCTGAATCTCTCCCAATTTAATTAACAAGGATTGGTTATAAACTTGTCTTCCCCCCCCTTCTTAATTCTCCCTCTCTTCACCCACTACATTCTCTAAATCCCCGGTTTTCAACCGATTACATTCTTTTAACCAAAGTCACTCTTTTGCATTCTTTTGCATATAACCTTATTTCTGAAACAATTTTTTTTCGAAACCATTTCAGTCAACTCTTATCACAATGCGTTTCTCTATTGCCGCTCTCGCCCTCGCCACTGGCGCCATGGCCAATGTTGTCACCGAGACCCTCACCGAGTACACCACCTACTGCCCTGAGGCCACCTCCATTGTCCACGGAGGCCACACCTACAGCATCTCCACCGTATGTTTACCTGGGAAAACAACTATCCGATACATTACTAACAAACATTCCAGCCCGGTGTCATCACCATGACCCACGGTCCCTTCACTGTCACCCGTCCCCTTGTGACCTCCACCGTGACTGAGTGCAAGAGCTGGTAAGCATTTCTTATCTATTCAACCTCAATATCAAATCTAATATCTTCCTCAGCTCTACCTCCATCCCTGCCTCCTCCACCCCCGTGGTCGCCAGCAGCACTCCCCTCATCCACGTCCCCGGTGTTGTCACCTCCACTCCTCTGGTCCCTGGCACCGTTCCTACTGGTGTCCCCGGTGTGCCCGGCTCCCCCAGCGGCCCCGCCAGCTCTGCCACCCCCTCCCAGCCCGCCTTCAACGCTGGTTCCATCAACGCCGCTACCGGTGCTGGTGCCGGCCTGGCTGCCGTCTTCGGTGTCGTTGCCCTCCTGCTGTAAAGCAGTTAAGTGTGTCAATGGTATCATGAAGAGATAGTATTGTGATTGGTGTCATCGCTTTGATGACATTCGCATGATGCTATGGGGTGTTTTACGGCGACAGTTTCTTCTTTGGGTGTACATGTCTTGTCTACGTCTTCTTAGATAATACATAATGAGCCCTGGGGCCCTCCTGGGTTAAATTTTCATGTCTTCCTTTCTTGTGGAGCTCGTCTTTTGTTGGTTTTTGCGCATTATTCTCCTGGACATAACGTTTTTTTATTATATTTCTCATCTGACTTCGATCAAGAATGATCTCTTTGTACTTTATTTTGCCTGCATTTGTTTTAATGTAGCGCTATCTATAAATTGTTCTTAACTGTACATTCTATGTCGATATCAACTAACTGCTTGATTAGTACACATGTATTTGATACTATAAATATGATATCAGAATGTCGCCAAACTTGTTTGCCATCCTCATTTGTCGTTCTCGGCTGCGTGCATCTATAAATTGACGTTAATACTCTGTCTGCACAACTACTCATCGTCCTTCTCCATCTCTATATCTTCCATCATCCCCCTCTATCTAATAGAAACTTTTGAATCTCCGTTCATCATCAATCTAATTTGACCAGAAGGATGCCAGCTATTCCAAGGGAAAAGATCCAGGCTGCAGCCTACCTCAAAGATCCCACCCATGCTAGAGAAGTGAAGGTCTGATTTCACGACTTACATCGCTTACATCACAAGTTCAATAGCCTTGATCCTATCTATATTGAATGCCCTAACCGCCCTTTCCCCCGCCCCAACAGTCGAATATGTGGCACAGTTTGTGGATGATAGAAAAGATGCTGACATATATACGCTGTAGGATACTGTCGATGTCGACTCTTCTGACTCGATTGCGACTATTACGACCAAAAAGCGCAAGAAAGGAGATCGATCTGGGGCCAAGCGCCTGAAGATGAGTTCCTCAATGGAGACCCTGTCGCCGGCGTCGATTCACTCCAAGACGTCCAAGGGCTCGCATAAAGAGTCCAAGAGAAACAAGAATAAAACCAAGTCTGCCGTGTCGCATGAAATGCTATCGGCCACACCGTCCGAATTCACTGGGTTTGGAATTCCGCTCAAGCTATCGTCAGACCAGAAGGTCTCAAAACAAGCCGCTTCTACCACGCCCACGAACCCATTTGAACTCACAGGCCTCCCGGCTTCAGAGTTCATCTATCCCCGTGACTTGGGTCTCTTCGACTGCTCATCCGAAGAGAGTGAGCCTTCATATGAGCCAGTCTCCGAGTACTTGCCGGAGCAGCGCAACGAAATCCCTACTCCATACACCCCCGTTTTGCGCGCGGTGTCGCAGTACAACCAGCGCGCCTGGAGTAAGTGTGGCAGCGTGTGTGAGACCTGGTTGGCGCGTCAGATGTATGAGGAGCTGGATGATATTTCTACTCGCATTGGCAACATTATGCGTGGGATCAAGGGGATGCTAGAGGAGAAGGAGGCGATGGATAATTGTGATGATTTTGATGGTTTTGATGGTTTTGATGGTTTTGATAATCATTTTGAGGATGGGGACACCCTTGGTCCGTTCAACGGTAGTGGCCCTGGGAATCCGTTGGAATTGAGTGGCGGGGAAGATGGTGCGCTCTTTGTGAGCTCTGATGAGCGCGCTTACTCTGGTGAGAAACACGCTCGATTTGGTGAGTCTAGTGGCTCTGGGGATGAATAGATGGGCTTGTCCATACGAGCTTGTAAGTAGGGGACATTGACTACACGACGATCGAGAAGCCAGTTATTTTCTTGATCTAATCTAAGACAGCTTTTACTTTCATCATTTCAATCGATATTTCGCAATGGCACAAAGCAAACAATATGTTTCCCCTATTAAGTCGCTAGACCTGATATAGAGTCCTAGAGTTCATACATATATCCGTTATTTTCTCACATCTTATGTAGGTAGCATTGGTCGTACCTCGTAGCAACATAGCTTATTTCCACATTCAACTTCAAAGAAGAGGTATCGTCACCTGATTTGTGTAGTCAACATTCTCTTTCACGCTCTCGATGCGCTCATGACAAGTACCAAAAATCCGATCCCAAAGACGAGTCTGCTTGCCATAGTTATGGCTCTTTCTCCATCCATATCGATGATGTAAATCATGATCTTCAATCACCAACTCAGCATCGAACATTTCCAACAGCCAATTCACAGTAGAGGGTGTACCGCCATGAAGTCGAAGCCCGCTATGGCCGATAAACTCCGAGTACGCAATATACTGGAAGCAAATCCACCATCCATAGAAACCCATAGGCAACCCAATAATTTTCAACGTCGTATAAGCAAGAAGCGGGATACCTGTAATATCCATAAATTCCTGCCCATGATCCGCATATGCAGAAAGCAAGGGATTAGGATGTTTCGTCAGGTGGTGTCTACGATGGAACTTCCACAAAGGACCCACTGAGTGCATCATACGGTGATACCAGTAGAACCAGAAGTCCACCGTGATACTGTACATGCCGATCTCTAAAGGAAGCCACTTCCATTCCAGTGATGTTGGTGTCTCTCCCGGTTGGTAGGTAAGAACTACAGCCATCACCATACGAAGTGTTGAGATCGATATAAGCTCTCGTATCACCTTGCTAACACCGACATTCGGGATCTCATCCCGTGCATGCTTGTCGCCATCAAGGAAGCCATAAACTTGGCCGAGGCGGCGCATGATGTGCATTTCGTGAATGCCGTTCAGCTTAAATGCACTAGCATACAACGTAAACGCGGCGATAAGGTGCATGTTCTGGCCGGTGTAGATTGTGTACGCGTGGTGTATTGCGAGTGGGATCGCCGCGTGAAGTAGAATCCACAAGTGGGCGGTCCATTCTCGCATGACAGGTATTTTATCTTTCTTAGAGAAGATTGGAACTTCGACGTCAAAATCAATGAGATGCAAGCCAAGGAGTTCAATCATCCAGTGAGAGAATTTCCATTGAGATCGGTCATGGCGCCAGGTAGATACCATGGAGTCTGCCGGATTGCGCTTGATAGTGCTCATTTGGGTGGATATTCTTACTTGATTTTGAATTTTCCATATATAAGAGATGATATTGGGCTATAGGCAGATCTATAAATTCTTATATACCTGTGTCCGTTCGAAGTTGTCCGGTATAGTTATGCATGTGAAGCCATGATCGACACACTACCCTCAAGTACGACACGTTGCCTGAACTCTATAATTTTTTGAACAAATCAATCAAGATACTTCAAGGAGTTGGAGATCCCTAAAAAAGAATGGAATGCGAGGATCTTGGTTCTTGCAACGCGGGGATGACATCAGGACCTGTGATTCGAGTCGTCTGCCTCGGCCTTCCGAGTATTTACAGAGGGGCAGTTTACTTATTTACCCGGGGAGTAGATCAAAATTCCCTTTGATTAATTGTTCATGTTCTTGTTCAGTTCGTGCCGATCTCAATTAACGGATGCCCCATTGCGGGACACTGTAAACGAATATTTTCAGAAAGGTTTTTTTACACGGCATTCCACTATGTAACTAATGGCTGGTGAAACCGTAAACAATTCTTTTTGATATTCTTCTTAAATATTCTTTTTAGATGTATTTTATATTTCTTTTTCATTAGACATTTTCTTCCACTTCTCAGTTTTATAACTGAAAGGCAGAAAAAGGCGGTGGGAGGTTATTTTCTATATGTACAGTGACTGGACATAAGTTTTTAACACACGGCCCCACACCACCTTGATTATATAATATATTGCCAGTCAAAAACGTTTATACTGTATATAACCCCTGGCTTTCAATAACAGCTTCTATCGAGTGCCGCATTACCTCAGAGAGATACTCTTGATGTCCCACTCGAATTTACTATATGTCTGCCGCACAGTAGCCAACAAAATACCCTTTGTACATAGTGTCGCATATATAATTTTCGTATACCTTTTAGGTAGGCGGTATATTCTTATACTGGCGGTGAGCTATATGGGGCAGTAGGTGTGTTAAAAACATATGTCCACTGACTGTAACCTTTGACTAATATGGCATATGTAAACCTTGGAATCTTGGAAGCACTACATATTTTGGAGTGTACATACCAGGAGAGAGCAATACAGGCTTTTATTCGCGAAAACAGCATCTTTGTGTTGTATTTATGGATACGCATTTTAGGAAGTATACCAGTGAACTAGGTGGGGCAGCAATTACTTATGTCCAGTCACTGTACGGAGTGTGTATGCCTCAAACCAAAATTTGATCAGCGCTATCATTATCCCTGTGATACACCTGTGTGCGTTCCTCAGCCATCTCGAACGATCGGTGGACGGAGATATTTTTTGTGTCGACAAACGCATCGTCGCGCCCATCCTGGATGCTATGCAGCTGGTATGAGTGCTGTCCTCTATTATTTTTGGGCTGGAATCTGTTTCCAGAGATGTCCTCCGTGAGTTTCGCAGTGCTGTGCGAGCGCGATGAGAATAGCGAAAGCCGCGGCAGATACATCGCGATCAGGCGTTTGAACCGCATTGCGCAGGCGCAGATGATACCGAGGTTGACCTCGACGAGGGACCATACTCCTAGGATGGCTTCGGTGTAGGTTGTGTCGGTAGTTTTGCTGAGGAGCAAAACGTATGGTAGGCGCGCTATTGAGCATATTATGACGCTGTAGAATGGGGTTAGCGGTGATTGTTTCTCCAGAAAGGATAGAATAAACAGATAATATAGGAGATAAGGAAATCGTACCCAGATCCTAGAGCTAGCAGACAGCCGACTGTGACTTTTTGTTTCGCTGAAAAATGGAGACCATGGATCGTCGGGATTGGGATAGCGATCACAGTCAAATCAGAGGCAATGTTCAGAACTGCTTGAGATAGGGCGACGTTTTCTAGACATGCTGTAGTTCCTGCATGGAGAGGATTACATGGTCCTCCAGTGATGATGCATAAGGTCAGGGTGTATGCAAAGATCGTCACTGCGACAGCCACGACGAGGCAACGGTATGTCTTTGCGGGATTGATTTGAAACAACACAGACAAAATGGCCATCTTGGTAATGCATGGACATATCAGATATGTCAAAGTATTGATTAGCAGTCCCTACTTCTTGTTAGCCAGCGTGTCCCAAAATATGCAAAGAAGTCTCACTTTATTGAACTCCATGAGATCTTGCAGGTTAACATTCCACATATGCTTTCCCCAGCCATAGTTCATTACTATCTGAGTCAGATGATAGTTTAAACCCGAGATATGAGAGACTTACGGCTGACCATAGTCACAAAATAGACCAGCGCAACGCCATAGGAAATCGTGATGGTGACTATCAAGTGTAGTATTAGTGTCTAGTAGTATCCGGAGAAGCTTCATGTCATACTCAAATCTATCTCAATCTTCTTGATCAGCTTGGCAGCCTGGAAGTAGCGAAGAGCAAGGAAAACCGTAGCAATGAAATAGGTGATGCCGAAGGCGATGACAGTCCCTGTTTGCAACGAGTTATAAGGCTCATGAAAATGCGACTCCTGGCCCTCCGGTGGCGGTATTCCTGGGGTCGTAGCCAGATCCATTGTATCTGACTGTGAATTCGATTTTCTCCATATCGATTTGGGTCTTCTGCCTCTATATTGTATACCCTTGTTCAAGTGTCGGCAAATTTCCCGCCACACGGGCTAATCGCCTGTCCCAAGGGATTCAGAACGGCTGCAAAACCAACTATAGCCAGTAATATTGGAGGTTGATGAAACCTAAGTGGGGACCCGTTTGTGCTAGCTCATCCTGCTCGTAGAGCTAACTGCCGTGGGCTGTCTTTTTTTAGCCTATCACAAAGACATTGTTACGTCTAACATTTGAATCCTCCACAAATGGTACTTATTCCACGCTAGGAAAAAACTTCATGAAAAGATAATTGCCATTTTAAGGAAAATGAACACTAAGTGGAGACCGACAGTCGTATTGTGCGCGTTAGACCTACCTGTAGACCTACCTAGTCGCCAGAGAAAAGGAAACGGCCCCCCACGCCATCTCTTTGACTGTAATTATTCGGAATAGGGGGTCCCAGCTGAATATTGCATGCGAGTATTCATTCTCCAAAGTAAGAAGACTTCGGTGATTTTTCTTTGAAACGGCCTGCTTCCTATCCATAATAGACCAATCGACAATATGAGATTGCCGTTTGGGCGTCAGCCCACCATGGAGCCAATTCCAGGTGATCGAGTGACGCCACTACATTTCTTTGAGGATAGCTTGCTTGTTCAGGGCAATAACATGGCCGTATCGCTGGTGTTTGATGCGGTGCTTGACCCAGAGAGATTGCGAGAGTCCCTTGAGGGCCTCGTCAAGCAAGACGGGTGGCAAAGGTTGGGAGGAAGACTGAGGAAAAACGTATGAACGGGCCATCTCCGGGAAAATCTAGATCCGCATAAACAGAAGGATTGTCCACAGATGTATACTAACACTTCCCGTGTTACCAAATAGGCCGCTGGTAAGATCGAATGGCACATTCCAGCCCAGTTCTCGGCCGAAAGACCAGCAATCTCCTTTGCGCATGTCGATCATGGCATGCCTGCCACTTCACACCCAGCAGCCTCTCGGATACCAAAGCCACAAGATCGACCCTGCGTCGCCGGTGACCCAGATGACCTAGAAGGTCTGGCGTGGGAACCTGGGTACAAGCCCAACGGGATAAATGACTACCTCACCTCGGATCTTCCTGTCTTAGGGCTGCGCGTCAATTCTTTTACCGACAAGACCGTTGTAGTGCTTCAGTGGCAGCATGTTGCCTTCGACGCGCTGGGCATGCAGTATGTCGTCGAGGGATGGAGTTCCATGCTTTGGGGGAAAACATCTGACGTATTGATGCCATGTGGTTTTGACTCAGATCCATTCCACTCTCTTGCTCAAGGATCGCATCCCACAACGGAGGAACATGTGTTGACTGACAGAAGGGTTGGGCTAGGAGGCTTGCTGCGGTGGGGTCTAGGGTATGGAGTCGATATGCTTGTCCGAGCCAAGGAGAACCGCATGGTCTGCATTCCAGAGACGTATTGGCGGCCGGAATTGGAGAAAGCTGTAGAGGAGCTTCGTACTGAGGCGGTTGCAAATGGCGAAGATCCCACAAAAGTGTTCTTGACTGAGAATGACGTTCTGACGGCCTGGACCTTACGCTGTGTAGTTGGCGAAATGGAGATGAGCCCCGAGAGAACCGTAAGTTCTAATATTTGTAGCCCTTCTAAATGGGTTGCTGACACCACTCCATCTTTAGGTAGCTGCATCAATCGCCATGTCGCTTCGCAAATCTTTCGAAGGCACCCTCCTGCCAGCCTCTACCGAGCATCCCTATGTTGGCAACGCCTTCGGCTGGGCAAATGTACTTGTTACTGCGGGCGACGTGACTTCTAAGCCGCTTAGCTGGCTCGCAAGGCAAGTCCGGCGCGCTATTAACGAGCAGGGGACGCGTGCTCAACACGAGGCGTACTACACCATGGTTCGCACTTCCGGGACTGGCCTGCCTATTATCGTATTTGGGGATGGTGGCATGGCCCAGGTCGGCTTTTCAAATTGGTCAAAAGCTGGTTTGTTCAACTTGGACTTTTCCCCGGCTCGCCGGGGCCCCAGAGATGACAGTCTGCCTTGTAGGCCATCATATGTTCAGGAAAACCATGGTCCTGTGAAGCCTGCAGATGGTTTCTTCATTCTCGGGAAGGATGAGAAGGGGAACTACTGGACTTCCGCGTGTAAGGTGAAGGGCCAGTGGGCAAAGTTTGAGGAGCAATTGAAAGAATTTGACATATCAGGCTCAGTATGAGGCCGAACCCCAGAATTGGGGTCGAACAGTGATTAAGAGACGCGATGGATTTTCTTGAGTGGGTGTATGCTAGAAGTAGAGTTTCGAGTTGTAACTCCTACCTATCGCGAGATATATAAAGTTGTTTGTCGAGATCTGATGAACACAACATGTATACATATCTTCAAAACATCAAGAATCATGTAGCCGTTTTTACCTTCTCCTTCTTTCTATGAATGGTTCGAAGCTTTCTAGTGTAACTTATAGACACAACTGGATAGGAAGTTTCCTACTGAGACTACAAACTAGGACCCCATCGGGAATCATCCTCAATTTAACCCGGATCTGCCATCGGGGAAAGCGACAATATACTAGTCGAACAAGATGAGCTAGTGGTACCCAACATGCATCTCTATTACTATTTTTGTTTCCTTAGTCAACTAACTATATAGCTTAGGTAACTATATCTCCTGCACGTAGAGCAGAACATACAGTTCAACTTGGCATCATATTAATAAATTACATCGAGATATTGGTGTATTTCGATCATACCAAGCTTCAGAAGCCAAGTGAACTGAAAAGGATAACAAGCTGGGGGGAATCAGATCAGAGTATATGTATTGGGTCATGTGATTGCGAGAATGTACTTAAAACGGCGATCACCCCCTTCATTTCGTCTTTTCATAAATTCAGTACAAACCTCATTACTTCCATTGCTAACAAAATGAACTCTCCCTTTTCAGATCTCTCCAGAGACCCTATTTCACTAGAGCAAGTCCTTAGGTCTATGTCTGCGGCGGTTATGGTGTTACATGATGGTTTAAGATAATCGTTGGAGCTCGAATATACAGGTTGAGATGAGTATTGAAGTCATCCAACGCGAATAACATATCTATCGTCGTTTCCAATCATCTAATACCTAATGTGGTGGCATTGCTAGATGCCTTGATTTTTCGGGGAGGCTACTCAACTTGCTTATATGGAAATGGGGACCTTCGACAATATTTAAAAACTAACCAGCCACCTCAACAGCTTCAACTTTCATGGTTTCGTGATATGGCTCACACGTTCAGGTATCAACGTGTGCTTGTGGCAGATATTGCTAGTCGAAACTTCTCAATTCAGATTTGACAATCAACTTCTGTGATGTTTCCGAAGCATCTCTTCTACCTTTAGATATCGATATGAATACTTCGATGAGTGTGAATATACGACTCGAATTGAGCTTGGCTTTCTCGGAGCAATCATGTATGAAATTGTGACTGGCAAGAAATGCCAAATCGATCTCTTCAAAGACAACCAACCTTCCGACTGGTAGTCGAGCCACCTGACCCCAGAGGGAGTTCCTTCCTAGCACCCAAAATGTTTGGTTTGGTTCAATTATTGAAGATTGATGGCTCGATGGAGGATTTCAAAATGCTCATAGCTACAAGCACTAGATTCTTCAGCCCCCAAATCTTTGAACGATAGCGGTTTGGATAAACTACGTGCAAGTTGCCACCCGATTCAAGCAGAGATGGACTGCTGGCCGAGGAGTTAGACCAGTGCAGACAAGTTCCTCGGAGCTCATTTTATACAACTCTCTTCCGTCCCTTTGGTTTCTGCCTATCCGTGCCAAGCTCAACATCTGTCGCGTAATACACACGGATGCACGGTTAAAGTACATACCCGCGACGGGAGCTTGGCACGGATGCTCCTGTCGATATCCTCATAGTATCCGAAACCATCGGAACTTGAAAGTCTTTCCGAAACAGAAATTGACCTATCAAGGGAAGTATATTTACAGATCCGCTGTGGGTCATATGGGGTAGTCTGGAGAAGCCCTAGTGCTCCCTACAGAATCCCCGACGACTTCCTTGCTTCATAAGAGAAGAAGTCACCTTGGAAAAGATATTAATTCACATCTTTGATCTGAATTTTTAAAAAGCTCATCATGGTTGACACACTACCCGCTAAAGAAGATCATGTGGATGTTCTCATTGTTGGTGCCGGGCCAGCAGGACTCATGCTAGCCAACTGGCTAAGTCGCTCTGGAGTCAAGACCCGTATCGTCGATAAGCGCGGCACAAAGGTAACTACACCCCTGTACAAATATAAGCACTACTATGTAACATACTGACGCCGGTGCAGGTCTTCAATGGTCAGGCGGACGGTCTGCAATGTCGTACTCTAGAAATCTTAGACTCATTTGATTTTGCCCACCGCGCATGGCGCGAGGCAAACCATATGTTGGAGATTTGTCTTTGGAATCCCGACAACAATGGCCGTATTCAACGAAGCGACCGCATTCCAGACACAATTCCTGGAATTAGTCGTTTCCAACAGGTCGTGCTGCACCAGGGTCGTATCGAGCAGTTCTTCCTTGATTCAATCAAGAAGCATAGTGACATCCGTGTTGAGCGGGGTGTGTTGCCCACATCTTTCGAACTCGACGAAGCCAAAGCAGGCGATTTTGAATACCCTATCAGTGTTACACTTCACACCTTGTCAGAGGACGAATCCACCCCTCAACAACGGCAACAGCATCAGAAATCCTCTGATGGTCAGCAAACAGTGGTCGAGGATGGACTTTTCCGGAGTAACTTAGCTGCTGATGACACCGACGACCTCATTCAGGCGACAGAGGCCAAAGAAAATCAAAACTCCGCTCAAGTTGAGCATATCAAGGCGAAGTTTATGGTCGGCTGCGACGGTGCCCACTCATGGGTGCGCCGTCAGGTCGGCTTCCACTTTGAAGGTAGCTCAACAGATTATATCTGGGGTGTTCTCGACATTGTCCCCATCACGGATTTCCCAGATATCCGCCACCGATGTGCTATTCACTCTGCGGACGCGGGTAGCTTGATGGTGATTCCCCGTGAGAACAAACTTGTTCGACTCTACATCCAGCTCCAGACGACGGATTGCCAGAAGAATGGCTCCAAGGCTGACCGGTCTTGGATTACCCCCGACATCATCCTGAAATCTGCTCAGCGTATCGTACACCCATATAAGCTCGATTACGCGTATTGCGACTGGTGGACTGCATACCAGATTGGACAGCGCGTGTGTAACAAATTTTCGCAAAGCGATCGCGTCTTCCTGGCAGGCGATGCTGTTCATACCCACTCTCCCAAGGCTGGACAGGGTATGAATGTCAGTATGCAGGATAGTAAGTCTTTGAATCCGGATGTGCTTAGAATTAATACTCACATTTTGATTAGCGTATAATTTGGGATGGAAGCTTGCCCATGTGATCAATGGTCTCAGCGAACCCTCAATCCTCTAAACATATGAGTCCGAGAGAAGACAGATCGCGCAGGACCTGATCGCTTTTGATCACCGCTTTTCGCGACTTTTCTCTGGACGCCCAGCCAAGGATATCATGGATGAAGAGGGAGTCAGCATGGAAGAATTCAAGAAGGCATTTGTAAAAGGAAACGAGTTTGCAAGCGGCACAGGTGAGTTGCTTATGTTAATCACTTTAAGAATCTTTAGTACTAACATTCAATTTTGTAGCTGTCAACTATGCTGCCAGTGTTCTCGTTGCGAAGGAAACGGATGTCGCAAAGCAAGACAATGAAGCCATCAGCAAGCCAGAGCTCGCTACAAAGATTGATATCGGCAAACGCATACCCAGTTTCAAAGTTTTGAATCATGCCGATGCACGCCCATGGCATCTGCAAGAGCTATTGAAGAGCAACGGGCGCTGGCGAGTGATAGTTTTCCCTGGGCCACTCACTGAGTCACAAAATAGGGAACGCTTCGAAAGATTGGGCGCATCTTTGGGAGGGCCGGATTCTTTCATTCGCAAATTCACACCACCAGGCAAGCCTATTGATAGCGTGATCGAGGTGTTGACGGTTCATTCCGGACCACGAAGGGAAATCGAACTTCTCGATCTTCCAGAGGCGTTCCGCCCCCACCACGGTGACATGGGATTGGATTATTGGAAAGTCTACGTCGACGAGGAGTCTTACCACGAGGGACATGGTCAAGCTTATGCCAATTACGGCATTGATCCGAGCGGCGGTGTTAGTGTCATTATTCGCCCAGATCAGTATGTTAGCTGGGTTGGAGAGGTCGATGACTACGAGCAGATGTCACGATTCTTCAATAGCTTCATGAAGCAACAGGCCGGAAGGGCTTAGAATTCTAGAGCGCAAAATACAACATCATTTCATTTCATACCATACCTGCTAGCAATGGAAAACTTAAACCAAAATCAACAAAACAGCCCACAAGCACCAACAGCCAAAGTACCAAATACACCAACAGGAGCCATGCCCTGTGCATAACCCAAAGCAAGCATCCCAGTAGTAACCTCAGTACAGCCAACATCACAAAACCAACTTCCTTTGGACTTGACCTCAAAAGAAAGCTGCGACTGGATGGAATTGTCATGATTAATAACAATCTGTCCACTCCTTGGATACTTATACCCGATCCAATATGTCGGAACCCCCCACTGTTGCGAGTACGTGGTTTTCTCATACCAAGACTTCGAAATTTGAGGACCAGCAGTACCATGTAAGAACCTAGCAACAGCGTCGCTACGAGACTTTGCGCTATTCTTCTCGCCAGCAAACATACAATTGTAAGATATTGTGCAGGAGTCAGAAATAGCAAAATCTGCCTTCCTGCTGGGTCTTATGGTCGCAGATATACGCAGACGCGCACTAGGTGTCATCGTCGAGGATGTAGAACCCCCGCTCGTGATGAGCACGGCGTCCAAACCCATGAGATTCAAAGGTATGCCCTGCGAGCCCGGCGAATCGATCGTTGGAATCAGGGATTGAAGGGTCGATCGCGATGGTGAACTCGTCACCATTGGGCATCTTGCGCTTCACTCCCTTTGTCCGCCAGGGACAGGACCTGTACCAGGGGACATCGGTCGTCATTTCTGGTGTGACCCATTTCCCTCGTGTTCCCTGGAATGCCCATGGTGCATCGTGATAATACATGATTTGGCGTAAGGTGGAATCGCCGTTGGGTGGGTGGATACTGCAGTCTGCTAGGACGACGCGCTCTTCTGGACGATACTCGGCCAGGGCAAAGGATGTGAGAGCGGTGATGGTGAGAAGAAGCCTGTGCATGTTGGGAGATAATTGAGCTATTGTGTTTGGATGAACTTGTTTTCGTTTCAAATGCTGACCTATGATGCAAAAATCATATTTAGGGTCTTCCTCAAGATCTTTATATTGCATACAGAGTGCTCAACATATCGAGAAACAAGCTGAACCATGTCGAGCTGCAGTCTTCCATTGTCATATCAAGCTACCTCCAAATATCAGCAGAGCATTTATCGCATCGGCATTGCCGACAGATCGAGGGAAATTATAAGCGGAGCTTTTGTGGGAAAGTCTTGAAGTAAGATAAATCAACCTTCCATCTGCAAGCCCTGGAGAATGATGAGCCGCTATATCAGCTCAGTCAGCTCGGAGACCCCGGCCTTTACGGTCTTCCTGCGGGCGTGTCGTATTCTTCTGCAGGCTCTCTACAGGATAAGTCACAATATATCCATTACAATCAACTCTAGCCTTTTAGGGGTAAAATGTGATCCCCGAGAAGATCAGATGCTTCGAATGTCTGCATCTTTGTTCCCTTCTATAGAACATTGATTGGACTTAGAGATAATCTTTCTCGATAAAATGCTTCTCAATTTTTAGCGCAGTGATAATAGGTTTCAAAGTCTTTCCTGATTGATTTATATCCATTTGCTCCGAGACTTCGGGTGACAAGATAGGCATGATGGTAAAGTCTGATAGCTTCTTCGCGGCCGTTTGATGTCCAAGTTACAAAATTCGGTCCATAAAATATGCCTTGCAGCATTCATCTACCACTATCTATCTTCTTTCACTATTCTAAGGTGTATATAACATAGTCATATCCAAGGATCTATGCCTTATCTAAAGCTTCGTCTTCGCGACACCATTTGTCTTCTGCTTCTCCTCGAAATACTCCCTAACTCTTTTCCTCGCAACAGAGACAACCTCAGCATCTTCAACAGTAGGCGGCACACTAACCGCCGCTGCATACTCGCCCTTCACCCCAAGTTCAACAAGCTCCCTAAGAACTCGCCTAAGCGTCTTACCACTCCGCGTCTTAGGAATCATCCCCCGACCCTGTATAATACCACCCAGCGATGCAATAGCCCCAATCTGCTCGCGGACCAGCGCGTTAATTTCGGAAAATAACTGCGGGCTCGGTGTTGCCGGAAGAGGTCCGGTTTCCCTCGGGCTCGTGCCGGCTTTAAGATGGATGAATGCAAATGGAAGGTGGCCCTTAAGTGGGTCTGGGATGCCGACAACGCTTGCTTCGCTGACCAATGGGTGCGAAAGGATTGCTTGCTCAATGGATCCTGTAGAAACAAGTTAAATCATAGCACTGGAAGGCGAGGAAAAGAATATCCTTACCGGTGCTGAACCGATGCGCGGCTACATTGATGATATCGTCACTCCGCGACATAACATGCACGTACCCATCCTTATCAACCATCCCCGCATCACCGGTATCGACCCAGCGACTATTAAACCGCTTAAGATATCCGCGGTAAAAGCGATCTTCGTCTTCGAAGAGGGTCGTGAATGCCGATGGGGCGAGTGGTAACGCCATAACGATATTTCCCATTTTGCCGCGTGGGACTTCACTCCCTTCGTCGTTGACAATGCGGACGTCAAAGCCAGGCATTGGGAAACCTGCTGAGCCGGGACGGGGCGTGAGGGGAGAATGATCTGTCCCAGATGCCAGACTAGCGACGGCAGCACTCCCATTCAACGCAACACCTGTAATCGGGGATCCGGATTCAGATGACCACCAGTTATCAATAACAAGCGCATTGTCCGCTGCATACTTACCAAGGAGATCTTGGTATGAGCGAACAATACTCGGCTCGCTACGCTCACCGGCGAGGAAAACTGCACGGAGAGATTTCAATCCGCCGCGTTTCCCGACCTCGTCAATAAGCTGGTTGTCTGGGTCATCTTTCCGGATAGCTCGCATGGCAGTTGGTGCCGTGAAGAGGGCGTTCACGTTGTGTTTCTCGACGATGCGCCAGAATATTCCTGCATCCGGCGTACCAACAGGCTTGCCTTCAAACATGACGGTTGTGGCGCCGACTAGCAGCGGCGCATAGAGGATGTACGAGTGTCCGACAACCCAGCCTATGTCGGATGCGCAGAACATCGTATCACCGGGGCCTTTTATCCCGAAGAGGGATTTTATGGAGAGTTCCAGACCCACGGCATGTCCACCTGCTTCTCGGAGAACGCCTTTGGGGAGGCCAGTTGTTCCTGAGGAAACATGAGTATAAAAAAAATATGTCAAGAACCGGATTCGGTTCTGAGATTCACTCACCACTTGTATAAATAATATAAATTGCGTCCGTACTCTTAACAGGAGCAGGTCCAGCCTTAACCCCACGGAAGCGCGCGCTCTTGACGATTCTCTGCCAATTACGCTGCCCACCACGCTTATCGGGCTGATTCCAGCGTAGTTGGTCACGCTGCCAGACAATCACCCTGCTCGGCTTGAAGCTGCTTGCGTTGATGGCACTCTCAACGAGCGGTCGGTAGGAAATGGGCCCCTTGGACCCTTCTATTCCACATGAAGCTGTCATTATAGCTCTCGGACGCGCGGCCTCGATGCGCTGTGCTAGAGCTTGCGGGGCAAAGCCTCCGAAGACGGCGGCGTGGATTGCACCTAAACGGGTTATTGCTAATGCGGCTATTAGAGCCGCGGGGATCATTGGCACTAGATGCGATTGGTGGTCAGCTTGGGGTTCTTGTTCTAATTAATTCCCCACTTGGTGTTATCACAAAGTTGTTGGCTTGCATACTGTAAATAATAACAATATCGCCCCTCTGTACTCCTTCCTCCCTAAGCACACCGGCAAGAACCTCAACCTCATCGAGTAGGCGGGCATAGGTATACTTCTCCGTTATACCGGTAACTGGTGATTCCCATACAATCGCAACATTATCGCCGTGGCCTGCGAGCACATGTCGGTCGACACAATTGTAGGTTGTGGAGATCTCCCCGTCGGCAAACCACGACCAATGCTCATGCTCCGTTCCGCTTAGGGACTTTGTCTGCCGTGTTAGGGCACGTGAAGGCTTTCGGTGCCAATGGAGTCTGGCCGCGTGATGAGACCAGAATGTTTCTGGGTCATTAAGGGAGTGTAAGTGGGTTGTTGTTTGAGGATGGGACATGTTGAATAAAATTGGAACTCGGACTCGAATATAAAATTCGGCAAATATACCTTGTGGTTTGATAGATTGGAGAAGCTAAGAGTGTGAAACAATTTACAAAAGACAGAAAATAGTGAACATGGTCGGCTCGGGTTTCTCAAAAGTACTCTGGACTGATACCGTTTATACCCGAGGTTGCCAATAGTGCGATTGGCACGGGGAGATGGAAGTTGAGACAAGGATTGACACAATATTCCCTTTAGCCGTGTCATCATTTGCGGGGGAAGAGAGGGGAGAGAGGAGAGAGAAGGTGAAGCTGAGATCCCCCGGATGCAACCGAGGCGAGTCCGTGCTTTTTTCCCCGCACTTTCTTTGGTACTCAGCAGTCAGCGAGTGTACCTATAGTGTACTTAAAATATACCTCATATGCAGTATAAAATACATCCTGGAATGAGGTACTACTCTTGTACCCGTACTTTTGCTTCTTTTCGTGAAGAAAAAAAAAACCTTTATCAATTGTCTATATCGCATAAATATGGGTGAAAAATGAATCAAATAAAAGCTCAGTCGTAGGGTATCATATCGAAATGCCTGCTAATGCGCGACTGCGAATCTTCTGGCTTCTGGGATTTTTTTTGTTTCTTTCGTGCCCGAAAGATTCCTCCGATCGCAATTTATCAAAGAGACCGAAGGGGACGATCATCAAGGGGGAAGGGTTGAGAGGGGAAAAAAAAGAGTAAAGAGGTTGTGGAAATTTAGACAGTCTGCATGTCTCGACGCATTCCCAAGGAGCAAAATCCAAGCCAAAAAAAAAAAAAAAAAAATTGCGCTCAAGGCTTGCAGACATTGGCCTCAATCTCCACACCAGTTCTCAGGCTCTTTAAAATGCGAGCGTAAAAGATGTAGCATGGCAGGGACCACCGACGCCGAACGAGGTGACCAAAAGACAGAACCCTCCAGATGCACCCGGGACCGAAAGGAATAGGAAGAGAGAAAAAGGAAACAGCCATTATTTCAGTAAGCAACAAATCCAACGCCTCCCGGACGGACCCGGCCGATCACAAGAGAGTACACTGGATCCGACTGCGATGCCGTGTCCGGTCTGGGCGGAAGGACTTGGGATATTCGGGGCCTGCGTCGCGATCGCGGTGGCCCGATCCAAAGCCTGTCGGGCGACGGTCTGCGCCACGGCCACCTGCCGCCTGTTGTCGTTGCTGGCGTAGCATGCGTACAACGTCGTAGAATGCTTTTTCCACGTTGATGCAGTTCTTCGCAGATGCCTCAACAAATTCACACCCCAGCTCCTTGGCCAATGCTTGGCCTTCCTGTGCTGAAACTGCGCGCTCGACGGCCTTGTCGCTCTTATTGCCAACTAGCATGACGGGGACGGGCATTGCGGGTCCCGATGATGCACTCATAGGCGAGTTCAAGTAGCTAGGGCCGGAGGGGGAACCGGAGCTTGACGATTCCTTGACCATCTTAATTTGGTTGTAGAATTTTGTGATGCGGGAGAAGGAGGCGCGCGATGTGATGCTGTACACCAATACGAACCCTTCGCCATCCCGGATCCACTGGTCTCGTAGCGCGGTATATTCTTCCTGGCCCGCTGTGTCCAGCACCTCGAGCATACACGACTGTTGATCGATGACAACTTGTTTGCGATATGAGTCCTCGATGGTTGGATCGTATGTTTCGACAAAGTGATTAAGACACAGCTGGAATCATTTTAGCCATGGGATTTCCCAGGTGTCAAGAACTAGATCAACCAACCTGAATGGTGAGGGCAGTCTTTCCAACACCTCCATCTCCCAACACCACCAACTTGTACAACGTCATTTTTCCAGCCATGGTGGGCAACTGGAATTGGGAACAGATCGAGGAAGATAATCAAACTAGAGAAGTCAGCACCTTCAAAGCTATGCAGCGAAGCAGCCTGCAAGCGACCTACCTATAATTGTTTCAGGGGGGTGGAAGAGAGAGGGGGGTAGTTCGAAGCGCAAGGAGGGGGGAAAGGGTGTGTGAAGTGGCCCACGTTCCAGGCGGGGGGGCGAAAAAGAAAAGCGGGAGCTTCCACGCGATTCACGACAACCCCCAATTGTTGCCGGAAAGAACGCAAAGTATATGGGAAGAGAGAAGAGAGAAGAGAGAAAAGACGAAAAGAGTTAGGAAAAGAGAGAGAAAGGGAGGAAAGATAGAGAGGGGGACCAGTGTGCGAATGTCTGGTCCGGGGGCTGGAACGAAGTGGAGAGAGGGGTTGAAGGGAATAGGGAATAGAGAGAATAGAGAGAATAGTGAGAATAGTGAGAATAGTGAGAACAGAATAGTCAGAATAGTCAGAATAGTGAATATAGGATGAAAAAAATAAAAAAAAAATAAAACTATTAAAGAATATACTCCAAAGAATATAGAATAGAAAGGATCAAATAAAAATTATGAAAGAGAAGAGTTTCGTACTTTTCCCGAGATCCTGTTCTCTCTACTTTCACTACTCTTTTTCTAATCCGAGACGGTTTCGGATATGGGAAAATATACATTAAATGCTGAATCTCTTAAAAGAATTCTGACTGGTAGAAATCTTACTAGAAAAAAAAAAAAAAAAAAAAAGCCAAAACGCCTTAAGTGACAGCTCCATGAAGTCATACATTTTTTTTTCAATTTTTTTTTTTTCCATTTTAGTCTCTCTAGTCTAGGGCTTTGATACTAGTTTTCCTTATGTTTTTTCCCTTTCTTATCTTTACCCCTATGTATACATGTATATATACACTGGTATACCCTAGTTCTCTATTCAAAGTCCATATACTATCTCCAAATATTATACTTCATATATGAAATATAAAAAGGTCCTGAGAAAATTTCCAGGTCCCGAAGACTCCACAGTAAAAAGGAGACACGCACAGGGCACAGTGGATAATCCCGGATGCACTTGGCTCTCATTTCCTAGAAGAAGAGAGCTTTTTATTAAATTACTTAAGCGAGAACCTGTTTATATAGAGTACTTCATCTATTTCTCGAATTTAAGGAATTAAGGTCATATGTTCTTGAATTAAGGGAATATGTACCCCAGTCAGCACGTGGAAGAGACGATCTATGGTTTCACGCTTGCCTTATCAGTACTCCATAGCAATATATAGGATGTTCCTCTTACTATACTCCATCCCCGATGGAATAAATGGAATTAATGGAATTAAATTACTTCGTACTGAGCCTACCCTTTTCGAAAAATCGGAGTTAGTTACTACCAACGTACTCCGTACTCCTCCTTACGATTATAACACCTACTTAGGTATAGCCTCCCCCCCCTTGGAGTAGTATAATAGGGTAAGTCTCCTTCCACGGCCCCGGGAGACGCTACCCCCGAATAGCGTAGGTCAAACGAAAGATGGATCCTAATCACACCCTACGTTTTGGTTTCCGGAATATCTCCTCTTTAAAGGTTCAACGCCAACCTCGAACTAGTTTAGGATCGAGTCTTGGCCATCCTAGATTGGCTCTCGCTATCGCCACGTTATACCCCTGCCACTTACGTTTTCCCGGGCCCCAAATCTTTTCCCCCGGTCTGTCTCCTGCGCATTCGGCATACCTACTACCTAGCTAGGCAATAGGTTCATATAGCCTATAATCGCTGGTAAATATCACTTCACACCAATGCAATATCCACCCGCGGAACGGCGCGTAAAAAAAAGGTCCCCATTGATACATGGATCCTGGGGCCTGCCAGGTACAAAGGTGGACAGCGGAAGGAAGTTCGGAAGGTGGGTATGGACTCCATATGCTCCTTTTTTTTTGCCCACTTCTTTTGCTTTGTTTTGGGGGGATTTCCTTTCATAAGAGAACAAACTCCTTCAATTTCCCTAGTAGGTAACTGGTTGGGCATCAACCTAATAAAATCCGGGATGTCTCCGTTTCCCGTCCCAGCTCTGTGGCTGTGGGCCAGGGGGGAGATATCGGGGAAACTGCTATTTTTCTTGTCCACTTTTTTGGTTGAATGCGGCACCCGACGGAAGCCATTTCTTTCTCTTTTTTTTTTTTTTTTTTTTTTTTTTTTTTTTTAATCAGCGTATATCCAATTGTGTGCTCTTCCGGTCAATTTCTAAGAGCACCCCCAAACAGCAGTGATGGGCATTTAGGCATGTTGCGCTTTTCCTCCCTTTTTTTTATATATCAGTGTACTCAACTCCATAGCAAATTTTGAACACAGAATTGTTGGGGCATATCCCAGGACTGTTTCATCCCCCTGTTCACACGGAAAGGCCCGGCCCAACGGCTCAGTTGCTAGGAATCCGAAGGGGGAGCTCTACCCGCCGTACCAAAACGGAGTTAGTGGCCGTGCATTTGATTGAACTGACAGGGGTTGATTGGCTGACGGATCCTCCCGCTTGGCCGTTATATGGAGAACGATGAAATTCGTGCCGTGCAACGGTCCGCTCTGGTCTCGCTCTGGTTTAGTATTCCAATCTCGAGTCCTGTTCATGCTGGCTACGGAGTACCGGTGGCAGGATTCGGTATACACCTGCCTTATATTGACGTACATGATGCAACGGCTTTTGGTAAAGCCCCGTGAATCCGTGATACATATGTCATCTGCCTGTGGATGTGTATCCATCGTGCGTCAAGGATCGACAGGGCGGTTCCCAGCAGATTGGCCCTTGGAAAACTAATCGATTGTTTGAAACGGGCTGAATGCGATATTTGCAAATTGACTCCCAGCCCGATCTTGGCTTCGGGGATCTTCACTATTGATCCGTGGCTTGGATATTGCTCGGGGACATTGTCCAGGTTTGTCCCTCGGGTATCTCGTAAGGATCATAAGGATCACATGTGTATATTGTACGGAATACATACATACATATATTACAGACAAAGCACTCCGTAGATGCCGATCTTAATGTGCCAAGCTACCGAAATACCCCGATGGTATGCTTCTAAAGCATGTTGGGATCAATAATGGTGGAACTACTTCAATGTCATGTGAGCATGTCAAAGCTCAATAATAGAGATAATTATTTGTGGAGAAAGGGGAGGAAGCCATGTGGCCAAAATGCTTAAGCTACAAGTATGATCTAGCGATATTGCAAGTTATTGCCTTATATGGAATAGTCTTGAGACTCATCAGCTGCACTTACAACTTAGTACGATTTTTTTTTTCTTCCGGAATAAGACATGTCTGCAATAGGGGCTATTATCATCTATCAATATCAATACGGCATAGTGTCAAACAGCTCTCATAAAAGTGGACATACTTGATACCTATACGGAGTATTGTACGTACTTCATTTTCTCTGCCACTTCTTGGCTTTCTCATTTTGTTTTAGTCTTCACCTCTTGTCTCTTTTTTGATCACTGAGTAAATTTGAGCACGTCCTTGGGTATCCTGGCTTGGGTATATTGCCTAGACAAACTCCTGGATTGTAGAAACCCCCCTACGGAATACCCTGTATTTCTACCAAAAGTGATGTCACCATAAAGGGTTGTATATATTGGATCACTCCTCTGCCATCCATATTTGATTAAAGAGACAAATGTTGCATTAAATATCTCACAATTGCTTTAACCTTGTTTCGCTCCTTAATCTGCTTCAACTACGGAGTACTCCGTACGGAGTACAGTCATCGTACTTCCAAGTCCACTGAAAATATAACATGTCGCACACATGAACAAAAACAAGTGGCTGCCAGACTTTAGACTGGTCATCCTGTCTTTTTATCAATCCTAAAATACACCAGTCACGACAGTCTCGCAGATGAATTTCTATTAAACTGGTTTAACGACCTGCTCTCGTGTGAAATATGTGAGGTTCTTCTATTAATTCGAGAAGTGGTGACGATCATTAGTCTTCAAATTCTTTTCGCCCCCGAATCTGAGGCGATTCTTAGGGTTTACTAGGCGAGATGGCATCCTGATGTGAATTTTGTGCACTGACCTACTTTCAACCCACTAGTAATGAAGCTAATGGATGGGTAACTACGGAGTATAACTAACTGTGACCTGTAGATTGAATGCCACTACAATATTTCTAGAGGCTAATCTTGCTAAGGCGCCTGTTTCTCACCGACATATTGGACAATGAAGATGCACAGATTTAGCTCAACTACATCGAAGACATGGACTTTTCAGACGACAATTTCAGGAGTAAATTAAGCTATCTATACTCTTGATACATGTCCTACTGGAAGTGAATGAATATGGGTCTTTTGTTCAGGACGTTTATATCATGTGTCTATATCAGAATCAGGAGAGCAGGGATGCGTGCAAAAACCGCAGACCAATGCCACTAGTAAATCTAGTGCTCATAACCCACACAAAGCTTATACTAGAATATATAGTTTCATAGAGCGTTGAAGTCTCTATGTCAAGGCCAACCTTTATGCGAAGCATGCAAACTAGCTTTATCTGTCATCCGTTTGCTCTCTTTGTATCAGTCTTTGGTGACGTGCTATAAGGCCCTCGTATATCAGAATTGCACTCTCAAATATTTCAATTCCATGACGTAGGAGGAACCCTCCAGCTCTTTGCCCTAATAAGTAACGCCCTTAACAACTCGCGCGATACCTGTTGGTTGTTTCTATCGACATCCTACCAAGTGGTCATTTCTTGTATTCCTATAGCCGACAGCTATGTCGAACCTAGGAACCCTTGGAAAATATTGGGGTTCTACCGCTACGCCCACAAGAACTAGCTTTGTCATAGCAGACTGCCTGGCTGTACTCTGTACGTCGCGGCTAGAGAGTGAACTAGAGCCACTTGATCTAATTTCACTATTATCAGACCAGCATGCGGGAAATGAATGATCTTGTTATGGAATTTCAAACAATCCATATCTAGTTCACGCTTCATGATGCGCCAAAGTTGATGTACAATCCAAATGTTCGAATATTATCCAGGTGTCAAAAATGGTCACTTCTGCGGTCCCTCAGAATCTTGAGAAAACACACTACTATTGCTGAAACTACGCAGAGCTGGAGTAAAGGCCAGGGGTTCAATGAAACTGCGTATTCATTAGTAGGAAGTTGTGTTAGAGGTTCCTTGATCTTCAAGGGGTTCAAATGTACACTCACTCTTCCTCTTCAAAGGGTCTTGGAAGAAATCCAGACTCCTGCATCGATTCGAGTCTGAGGGACTCATCGTCTCTCCAATTCATTCTCGAGACATCGGTATCGGTATCGTAAGGTTTATTAAATTCATTGTTGCGATTGGATCTAGAGCGGAGGGCGGCGAATACCGTTGAAGGGTCGTTTTTTGATGGTGACTATGACAACTCCGTCTGAGTTGTAGGTTCGAGAGTGGCCCCGGTCTTGAGGTCCTGCACACGCCTCACTTTTATAGCCGCGGGTATGGCACAAAGACTGAAAAGCAGCACAAAAAGCACCGTAAACAATGACCGGGAATACGTATTGTTCAAAGGCGATCGATCCCGGGTTCTTGTTCCTAAGACCTGTCGGGAAACGCCTCAGCTTTTTATCGGAGTAATCTGGCGAGCAGCTCGTTGAGACATTACTATATTGAAAAAAAGAATGATCTATCTTGGGAGTCATTGAATCATATACAGAGAGCTTTCCTCTTCTACTATACTACACTCGGGATTTGAGCTAGTTAGATCGGGATCAAGGATCTTTCTTGACACTTATTGGAAGAAACATACAAACATAACGTGTGATGGTGGCTGGGGGGCCTTGGCATGGAGTTAAGCAGCGGGTGTCGGAGATGCTGACAACGGAGATGCTTGGCAAATGGTACCAAGTATGTGGTGCTCAATGAGATGCCTATGGTGTAGATAAACCTATAATGATTGTTTAAATCACATGGAAGTTTGCAGCATTACATTTTGAATGTCAGTTTGCTCGAAGAACTAAGCACAGATCAAGTCATTCTTTATCGGTTTGTCTGCACTTGAACAACTGCGTTGCTTCTCTTTTTTTTTCCTAAGATAAATCAATAACAGGCAAGCCTAACTGGTTCGGTATGTTAAATTACATGTAAACCAATTCACTGATTGATTGGTAGTCTACGACGGATTCGCAGATCGACATCATCCGTAAGGTTTAGAGCTTGGCTTGACGTTTTCTAGAACCCCGATTAAGATCTTGATCGTGGCTGAGGAAGGCAGCAGCATTTTATGATTAGTATTCATGCAAGTTGCTGACAGACTAGAGTCTCCACAGCGAATTGTGCTCATAATACCACAGGTGGTTCCTATTCTAGCCACGCGTCCAACACTCACCTATTCGCTTTTCCATACTTGGCAAAATACTTTTGTACTTAGTTCTAGGGGCTTAGACAGGCTCGCATAAAGATTTTGGAATTATTGATACTTACCAGGAATGGATCCTTGCTTACATCTCGATCATGGCATGGACACCTGTGGGTTGAGACACCTGGTGTGGGGCTGGAGATTCATGGATATGGAAGTTGATTCTATATAAAATGCTGCACATTACTGCTTATGAGAATTTATAATACGATAATACTTCGAACAAAAAAAGAAAACCATCGTATTTAGGATGAAAAAGCCAGCCTTATCCTTTACTATTCTAGCCTTGCTTGCTTTGATTGTGCTGACATCGGCCGTTGGGTGTAAGTATATGATGTGTTTGTCTCACCAGTCTCAGCTAAAAATAAGCCTGAATGTTTCATCTAGTTGATCCAGTGTCATTTCATCTTATCGATTCAATACGCTCTCCACTGAATGCTACCAAGAAGTTCACTATCACCGCTAAGATTGAGACATACAACCAAACCGTCAACTTCGTTCTAGAAAACAACTATGAACTCATATCACCAGACGTACAAATCCGGTATCCAAGTGTCTACCAATACGCTAATAATGCAGATACCCTGCCAGAAATTCAAGTTCAGTTTACAAGAGGGTCAGTCTGGACACAGGACACTCTTAAACGGAATTGGGAAAACGTCGGATGGGCTAGACTTGCCGTGATCCAGGAAGGAGACAGTTTGCTCTTTGATGGAGCGTTTACGATGATGGCTTCACAGTATGCCATTGTGCTTGAGACCCTCGATGACGGGTCTATTGGGATAATAGCCCACGAACACGAATCCGCATTCTCTGTAGGCGGCCCACTACTCCCCTCGCTCTGTGCAACTGCCCCCGAAACACACTTGGATAAGCGACAGGTTTGGGATGCTTTGGGTGACGACAACCTCACATCAACGATTGGTAGTACGTATGGTTGTCCGACCACGAGAGAGATTGCCTACATTGGTATAATGACGGATTGCACCTATACTGCAAGCTTCAACTCCTCCGACTCCGCCCATCGATACATCTTGAATATGGTCAACACTGCATCTGTGGTCTTCGAGAACAGTTTCAATATCTCTCTTGCGGTACAGAATCTGACTATTGGTGATGCTGAATGCCCGAGCAGTACACCAGCCATGACTTCGTGGAATCTTCCATGCTCTCAGGGCAATCTGAACACCCGCCTTCAGACATTTTCAATGTGGCGAAGCTCTTTAAATGATGAAAATGCATACTGGACCTTGTTAACTGGGTGTTCTGTTTCCGTTGGGGAGATTGGGGTATCATGGATTGGAGCGCTATGCAACACAGGCTCTAGGTATGGTGGAGCTAGTGCTAATGTTGTCGCACGAACACCGAATGAGTGGCAGGTCTTTGCGTAAGTAATTGCAACCTGTGAGCAACAAGTTAATGGTGCCTTTCGCTGACACAAAAAGTCACGAATCGGCCCATACATTCGGAGCAGTCCATGACTGCACTTCAAGTACATGTGGAGGCAACTCGACACAATGCTGCCCACTCTCATCAAATACCTGTGATGCCGGTGGACAATATCTTATGAACCCCGTATCTGGATCTGGTATGACGCGCTTTTCACCCTGCACGATTGGAAATATCTGCTCGCAGCTTAGCTCTGGGCGGGTCGATGGGAGCTGCTTGGTGGACTCTCGGACCGGCGATACTACCGGTAATAATGAGCAGTGTGGGAATGGCATTGTTGAAGCTGGCGAGGCATGCGACTGTGGAAATGGTGCCTGTGATGAGAGAGAGACTCAGTGCTGCGACTCTATAACCTGTCAGTGGCGAGGAGGGGATGGGTGTGAGCAAACAGACGATGGAAACACTGAAAACACCGAAAACACCGGCAACACTGACAACACTGGACAAGGAACATGGGGAGGTGGTAATCCAAGTGGTGATGTGTCATCTTGGGTTCAGGATCATCTTTCGTTGGTTATTGGAATTCCTGCTGGTATAGGAGGAGCTTTGCTACTGCTTATATGTGGATGCTTGATTTCTTCCTGTAGGCGCCGCAGAGCGCAAGCGGATGCAAAGCCTACAATTCCAACACCACCTCAATATCAATAAAAATTCCATTTCATTTCAATGCTTGGTTGATATTCCCTCACCTTCACTCCGATATATACTGCCGGTGAGTGGGCTTTAGTGTCGTCTAATCTAATATGTAGTTATTTTTAGATTGCAATATCCAAAGCTCTACCTGTATGGTTCATTAAACCCCAACGGGATCAGGGCAGTATATGTTTTATGCTAATCAAACACTTGAGGGAAAGTCGCATATTAAGAGAAACTGTCGGTGTTGGAATGATCCTATAACGAAAAACTGGAAGACTTCAAAGGCATGCAAGTATGACCCAAAAAGACTAGATTTTGTTCAGTTTGTACTACCTTAAAACATTGAAATATCCAATTTGCGCTACAAATATATTTTGAACTTCAAAACAACATAAAATCCCACCGACTCAGCAGAAATCACCCTCGCTGAATATCCTTCAAATAAGCCGTCACCCTTTCCACCAAAATACGCCGCGGCTCCGCTTGATCGCTATCACTCAGCGCATGTGATGCATTAGGAATAACCATACTCCTTGAATCCCAGATCTGCCGCCCACTCCCATCAGCAGCAATCTGCCACCTCTTCAAGAGAGCCTCCTTATTAACCCACGGCGGCACCGACTGATCCCTCCCAGAGTACAGCACCAGCATTTTCTGCTTTAGCAAACCCCTCTCCCGAATCATCCCAAATGTTCCACGGAATTGCTCGTCACTCAAATCAGAACTAAACAAATCATCCTCAGACGGATTCTCTGGACTATCTGGGCTAACCAGACTCAAGAACCGCCGACTGCTAACCGGCGCAGAGGGCGGATATCCAATTCGTGACGTCACAGATAATGGCACAACTGTATCAACAAGATCGTGGTCCTCATATGTCGCCCGCCGTGCATCAGCAACAGCCTTGTTGTACATCGTGCGCATCTTAGCCGGGCTGTCACGCTCAGTGCCACACTTCACAACCCATAATATGCCCTCGCGATCAGAAACGGGCGCTTGCATAATTGCCCCATCGACTGAAACCCGCACAATCGGCTTCCAGTGGCGATCGAACACGGGGTGTGCAGGCCGTGGGTTGGGACAGTTGATATAGTGCATCACGTCCTGACTGCCCGTCGAATGGCCCATGATGACCACTTTTCCGGCGCCAAATCGTGGTTCCTTGTATTTGCGGACGTACGACACGCTCTCCGATAGTTCGTCGATATCTTTGCCCAGTCGGCCCATGCCCCATCCCCCGCCAGCGCAGGACAGGATTAGCGAGAATACGCTCCATTGGGATTGGTCTAGCGCGCGAACTATGTCGCTTAAATATTCAACCGAGCCGAGACTATCGCCCAGTCCACCGACGAAGACGAGTGTATGTGGCTTGGGTACATGGCTGCGGGTGTATTCGAAGGCGACAAGGGTTTCGGTCTGTGAGGTGGTGTTAGCGGGGTGAATGGCCTGCAATGGTGGGTGATGTACACAGTGGTGTAGGATACCGGGCTGCCCCTGGGCCAGTGAGGTGAGGAGCTTGATTTGCATTATAATATGTTGCGTGCTGCAGGGTATTCCAAGTTTGAGTTGACAAAGTGCGTCAGATCAGATAAGAGACCATCAGATAAGGACCTGCGACGGACTTCCAAGGTTATGTATCGTGGTACCGGCAATTCGCGAGCGGTAACATAGGAGTTAGGGCTTGGAATATATATTACTAGCGTGTATATTTGGTATTATATTAACAATTCCCGACATCAGAATTTGACTTTCATACTTCGAGTTGATCATCCCTATATCAGCGCTTAACCAATGTGAAACGGGGAAAAAGAATACATGTATTGCGGAAGGTATCTACCTAAATGCTTGGTATATCTGCTTGATCGGTCAATTTTGGCAAACACCATCCACAGTCTGGTTAACTCGGCCTCCTTGAAACACGAGCACCTTCATCTAGTGCTATTCGGACTCCGGCTCGATGGAGTAGTTACTCTCATCCCAGGAGCCAAGATGCACTAAAGGCTGCTCAGGCTCATGCAACAAGATAGTAGAAATTACCAAGATCATTTTAGCACGCGACGACTTTCGCAGACGACACACGGTTTATTGACCAGCCCCCTGGATGGCTCGGTACTATCGTGAGTCCAATGGAACCTTGTTGAGAGGAGGCCAGAAGCAGCGAGCTGTGATCGCACAAGCTCTAGTCAAAGTTCCAAAATCTTGATCCTCGACAAAGCTATAGCTTCCCTCGACTCCAGGCCAGAGGCGCAGAGGAAATTCTCCAAAACCAAGCAAAAAGTCCCTCTACTCTATTATCCGAGTAAGGAAATGTGTTATCTCATGCATCACTATCTGCTCCCCAAATTATTGCCATCGTAGGTGCTAGTATACTCAGCGCTGTTTTTTCAGCTGATACAGTGGTCTTCGGCAACACCGTCGGCAGCTTGACTCCGTGCGAGGCGCCCCACTATATTCGGTCTTGAGATGGTTTCTTTGATTTTATGTCTTCATTTTTGGTTGCTATCAGGTTCTTCTCTCAACTAGGTTGGGTTTGGATGGGTATCTGAGAAGTCAATCTATAGCATTCGATGTTCTGTTCTGCTCACTGTTATAATAGGACTTGCAGCGGCACCAGTCGTATGAGCGCAATTCTGTTGGTTTACTTGAATTCATTACCAACAATGGAAATATGATTATGGGCCTTGCAGTATTCATAAGTCTAGCACAATGGTTTTTTACACAACCACTTATATAGTCCTTCGTTGTTGGGAGATGTACTAAAAAAAACCCCTACTATGGAGGTATAGGTTTTGAGGATGATTAAATACTCAACCCTTTTTCATTACTCATATGTTTCCTTTCTGTCGGCTCACAAAACAGCTAGGGTGAAGCTCTTGTGTACACTGTAGCCGGGGGATTAGGCGCGGGGCATCCTCCCGACTAGATGGCATCAGACCATGGGGAACCTGGCAATACAGACAGCAGAGGTTAGTATGCATAGATTTGTTTCTGTTAGGTATACTTACAGGCAATCTGTAGTCCAACATAGAAGTCTGCTTGCTTTTTCTAGGTGCCATGAGCGTCAGTCAGAGGCTACCAGTCTGGGTAGATATGCTAATGTACTCACGATGTGTGTTGTTGAGATATGTCTTTTGACTCGTGACGGGCAAGGTCGCTGGTCTTTCTCCACGTTATCGAGAGCCGTGCAATATGGGCACCTGAAGGCGCATGCAGGGATACGCTTTGGAAGACCGACGAGAGTCAGTCATCTCTTCAATATTCCCTCTTAGGGTAACTTGATTTGAAGTACCCACAATCACCACATGATCAACCGGCCACTGGGCTGGGAAGTGCTGTCGGCATTCACACACTTTCTTGCGTTGGCTCCAAAGTTTATGCGTGAGTAGATATCAACCAAAGGGCTTAATGGAAAGATACTTACACCCAGTAGTTAGGTTGCATTTCTGGGTCGGTTCTCATCCAGTAGTATCCCCGGAGCGGGCTGCCATCGCTAGTGACCCAAGGGTTCGTAGGGGGCCGGTCCTCGGGCTTAGAGGCCATCCTACTTGAAACAAGGTATTTCATTAGTAACTCGGTGCCGATGCGCTCTGGAGAGGATGTCTATATTTCAGGTGCGACATTAAGGTATCCCAGTATCAATCGAATCAGGTGAATGGGATGATATACGTACCTAATATTCTCACAGTTTAGTGATAATTTAGCGATTCAAGGATGGTGATGCGATGGAAGGTGTAAAAAGAAAGAAACAAGCCGGCAGGCCGGCAAGCAAATAGTGACAAGCCCTAGGGAAATATCTGGCATCGAACTTGAAGATCTGGCAAGACCAGACAAAACAACAGTCGCAAGGCAAGAGCGAAATTAGATGTTCTAAAACCGACCATGGACAATATCAAGCTCATACTCCATAAATCCAAGCTGTCTTGAAATTTTTATATTACTCGAAAGACAAAAGAATCGTCCAGAGCCCTTGAGTCTGTCGATTCTCCTCCCTTACCAGCAGGGCCACATTGTTCCAATCCAAGGCCGCAGTCTTTTTTTTAGCTTAGGGATACATTACTACTGTGGTACAGAATAATAATTTCGAAGCTACTCGCCCGACACCTCGGTCACAGCTCGATGCTGACCCTAACGACTCTACTACCTACCATCTTAGGCTAACCTTTATCTCCATCTTCAGATCAAACTCGGTCCACTTCACCAGAATACTTGACACTTGGCTGTTATGTTCTTTCCTTTGGCATTCTACAGAATTTCTACTAGATGGAATTATCAATTCGCATAAGCAGCAACTAATTCTGTGACCTTCCAATGATATCCTCGTAAATTAAGTCCACTCTACACAAGCGGAATAGGTATAATACGAAGGGCGGATATATACTACATACACTTCCATGTCATAATCAGAAGTAGAGATTCTGGATTTCAGATACTTGACGAAAGTGGTAACATATTCAGATTCTCTCGGGATAATTACTGTTATGGTCATTTGGCAAAGACATCAAACCGAAACAGGTTTGAAATCATTTCACTTGAAATGGCAGCTAAGTACTAAATACATCATAGGCTATTATTCTTCATCCGAGAGACTTCTTAAAATCAACCATCTTGACTTAAAATAAGAGAGAAGATAATGTCCAATAAAATATGATAAGGAAGAAAATTGCACAAATTTTGGTGTTCGCAATATTAACCGGGCCGGGGTTGCAGGCATGAAGTTCGATAGGGCGATTATGCACTTGAGAGCCCATAAGAGATACCATCTTTTTGATTATGTCCTTCTCCTTGTTAGTAAACTTTGGCACACGGACATAAACATATAAGATCTTTCCAACCTAGCACATATCTAAGAAACATCTCAATTTGACCCCTCCTCACTATTTTGGTTGTCTTCTCTTATTCATTTACCCCTCGCATCTGACATTCGCAATGCACAGTCATGCTCAAGATCACCTCGAGGAAAACGAAGAAATGCCGACGAGCGAAGATGAGGCTAGACCTATCACCAGATCTATCATCAAACGTACCCTCGCTGGCCAAGATAACGCCAAAACGCAGGCAGTCATTTCCGAGCTTGTTAAAACAAGACGAGGGCTAAACCAACGTCATATTCAAATGATAGCCCTGGCCGGAACCATCGGTACTGGCCTCTTCTTGGCGACCGGAAAATCCCTAGCAAGGGGTGGACCGCTAAGCATGTTGCTCGCATATTGTATTGTGGGCATGCTTATCTGCTGCGTGGTTTTTTCCGTAGCGGAGCTCAGTGCTCTGGCCCCTCTTTCCGGTGGCATTATACGGCACGCAGAATGGTTTGTTGACCCTGCGTTGGCATTTGCACAAGGTTGGAATAGTGTTTACGCGAATGCTATCCTCCTGCCAGCTGAGATGGTGGCTTGCGCTGTCATTATCGACTTTTGGTCTGATATTAACCATGCGGTGTGGATTAGTGCCCTTGGTGCGCTATTGGTTATTAGCAATATGCTACTGGTCAGTATTTACGGCGAGTTGGAGTTTGTTTTTGCAATGTTAAAGATTGCTCTGATTGTTGGTGTGAATATCCTGGTGAGCAGATTTCGCCGCGCAAATGATGTGCTGCTTATTTTACTGACTGCCTTTCATACATATAGAGTATATGTATCACCTCTGGCGCAGGCCCACAGGGTTATCCCATGGGGTTTAAATTTTGGAGAGACCCTGGACCCTTTGTGCAATTTCTTGGTATCGATGGCTCATGGGGGCGGTTTCTTGGGTTTTGGCGTGTACTGAGCAGTGCAGCTTATGCATTCTCCAACGTCGAGAACATATCGGTTGCAGCGGCTGAGACGCAAAACCCTCGCCATAACATTCCCAAGGCCGCCAAACGTGTGTTCTGGAGAATCCTAATATTTTATCTCATCACTATTTTCATGATGGGCCTTATTGTCCCCTCCAATGATAAGGGTCTTATGTCAAATTCCGGGGATGCTGGAGCATCTCCATTTGCGATTGCTGCTACCAATGTCGGGATCAAAGCGGTACCTTCGATCATCAATGCTGTCGTTGTCACAAGTGCATGGAGCGCTGCGAACTCTGGTAAGTAGGGATTTTCTGTCAGCCACAGTACTTCTGTTAACCCAAATATAGCAATGCTCGTTGGAACCAGGACACTATATGGTCTTGCTCAAGAGGGGCATGCCCCAAAACTATTCACTCGCATCAATCGCTTCGGGGTTCCCTGGATATCAGTTGCTGCAGTCGGATCTTTTCTTGCCTTGGGGTATATGACACTATCCTCTACAGCTTCCATTGTGTTTGATTGGCTTCAGCAACTGGTCTCAGCTGCCTCTTTAGTGCATTGGATTAATATAGAGGTGATCTACCTGAGGTTCTTTTATGGCTGCAAGAAGCAAAAGATCAGCCGTACTGAACTTCCTTGGAAAAGCCCCTTTCAACCTTACGCGGCATGGATTGCTCTAGTTTCGTTCAGTATCATTTTGTTTACTGGTGGGTTTTACATTTTTATTGATGGCAACTGGAGTCCTCAAACCTTCATATCGTCATACTTCAACATTCCACTTATATTTGTCTTATATTTTGGATACAAATTTTGGCGAAAGACCCGGCTTGTTCCTCTGGAAGAAATTCCAATCCATGAATTTCTTCAAATCGCCAATGAAAACCCAGAGCCAATCCCATCTCCGCCTACTGGATGGAAAAGGTTGAATGTCCTTTGGGCTTGATTTTGGGTGCGGAATGGTTATGGAAGAAGGAAAAGACATCTTAGAAGCCGGGCCAAATAGACTGATTATATCTCGAGTGTTCATTTAAAATGACCAAACATACACGTTATTTACTATTTTAAGTATTGATCTACCTTTCTAGGGTCTAACTACTAACCCCAGAGGGAAGACAGGTCTTACTCAATCCCAAATCGTCTAGCCACCTCTCGGAAGCCATCAGACTCAAGATGAACCCACATATCTACCCAGCCTTCAGGTTTGGCCTTTGAAATCTGCTCCTTTGACCACTCTTCCTCCATCTCACGATCAACATAGATAGTCTGAAACCCACAGCTCTTGGCGGCCTCTAAATCCTCGAGATGCGCCGCAACCAGTCCGCACTGGCCTGGTTCCAGTCCAAACTTCCTGGCAGCACCCTCATAAACCAGCGGAGAAGGCTTATAAGCTTTAAAATTCTCTGCGCTAACAAGATGCTTGAAAGGCAGTGATCCATGTCGCTGGAGATCCTGCAGTAAAGAGACATTCCCATTCGACAGCGTAGAAGTAACGAACCGACGGTTCAACAATTCAAGACCTTGGGCACTGTCCGGCCAGGGGTTGAGCCGGTGCCAGGCGAATGAGAGTTCCCACAGCTTCTCATCAGTGAACAGGCCGTCCAGACCGCGCTGTTGCAAGAGATCCTGAAGGGCATTGTAGTGGTGCTGATCGACTGACACAAACCCATTGGACGGATCGAATGTACTGGTGAACACATTATAAGAGTGTCGCCAATCTGCGACAAATGCTAGCCAGTCTTCCCAGGTCATGGCTGCAGCGCGGTCCTGCAGGTCGGCTGAGAGGTCCTTGCAGGGATGGCTCACAGCATGCAGGGCGGCTGCGCTCAGCTCTTCCGTAACGCATGTGCGCCACGACACTACTGTGCCGAATGTATCGAAAAACAACATCTGGGGTGGGTGATCAGTCGACATCTTGTGTGGTCGGTGTAATAACTAAGAGTAGACGGAGATGTTGATAATGTAGTTATTCCCCACACTTGCGAGATTATGTCGGTTTCCGAGCTCTGGGAACCTGACAAAGTTGAGATCTCAACTAGATAGATATGTAGGTCAGAGTGAAATCGATGAGTCTACCTATTCATATAATGCTGACCATGCAGGACTCTCGTGGAACGTGTGCTTAGTCAGTGTTCCGAGGTACCCCCCATGTGCCCACCTTGGCATGTGAGGTCCCGAGATCCAGTTAACGGCATCTCCAAATCCAACGTCCCTGATTGTTCTAGTGAATGGTTTTTATTAGGATTAAGAAGGGAAAAGAAACAATCAGCCGATTAGTTTTTGCCCGGTAACTGATCTGGAAGCACCCACACATATTGTAATAGTTGAGTACTTGAGTCTAAAGGAATGTGAATGTGCATGAGAGGAATTCAACATTCTGCCTGTTCTGTATTCCGCTTTCCCTTAACTTCCTAAACTTTCTCATCTCAAATCATCGCCATCAATTTGACTGATCTTCATTATCAGCAGAGTTCCTGATATACTTTGTACACGGAGTACAAAGTACAAAACTTCAGCCCCTCTTCTTGTGTACGGATTATCACCTGCGCCTCCAAGCTAGACTCGCTAGCGCAGAGAAACAAAGAAACCTGAGATATGAAGTATCAGCGAATATCGACCTGTCAACGGCCGTCTAAAGTCAAAAAGTACCGCGTGTTGTCCCCTGAGACCAGTGGGGCAAATGGGATGACCATGATTCGCGGATATTTCTTACTTATTCGTCTCATCCCCGTTGCTAGTCCGATGCCCAATGGCAATTTGGGGGCTTGATATGAGTCTAGACATGGACTTAGTACGGAGCACTCCGTACTCCGTATATCGGACGCGATAATAAAGCATTTTATTGCCAATCATTGACGATTGTCATGCGTCCAATGTCCACCAAGTGTGCGACCGGCACTTGCACATATGCAGAGAACTCCAATCTAGAGGCCATTGAATGCCATACAACATACAATGGGTCTCCGGACTTTAAACCATTATCATGGGAATTTGATTCTTCATTTCGGCTGATGTGGGTTCGTTCGAAGCTCTCGGTGGAGACCTTGGATGGGGCTGGATTTTACCCCTGATCCGCAATGTCCGCAGATGATTTGACTATTTTGCTATGTCTTTTTGAAGCGTCACAAAGAGGCGTCAATGAAATACGCAACAAGCAATATATGCCCTGGGGATTCTGAAACTACAACCACAGTCTCTCGTATGAAATGGTCTACGGCGATCGTCGCCCAAACAAGCTACGAGTTGGCCAACATTGCCATTTAATATTCTCAAACACGCTAACAAATCACTATTTTAGTCTCTTCGGAATCGACACCATTGGTCATTTGCAAAGGCTTTTCTTCTTTTTTATGATTTGACTTCCAGCTACCTCGTTGATTTCGCCTTCAAGAAAAAAAAAACAAAAAAAACAAATAGGGGGTGAACTTCCCCCCAGAAAACCCTTGAGCTACACCCAGACGTGCAGAGTTTTGTCACAAAATCCTAGCCCTGGACACAATTAATCTCTGAATCTTGACAATATAATAATATACACCCTCGTTTTCCGTTTCCAAGCTTTCGCTCAACAGCTCCCGATTACGACTCCGTTTTTAATCTTGTACCCTTGTTTTCTTTTTCTTTCTTTGTTTCTTTGTTCTAAACAGCTTCATTCTCCATGGTCTTTGGGGTCTGCTACAAGATCTACAAAGTTGATACAATACGGAGTATAGACTCTCTATGTTCGCGATCAGACCTTAAAGCGTTTTATACAGGGGAGATGATTGGAGCTCATATGTCTTAGTGTCTCTGGCAGCTGCAGTGGAGTATGAATCCTGCGGGCTAATCGGGTGGATTCTTTTCTTTCCCCATCCCCCCCTAACGAACACCCCTGGGACTTTTTCTCTCTTTTCTTTTTTGACGCGCCAAAGTCCAAATCTCCTCGCGTCCGAAGTTTCCGATGTGCCGCAAGGCTGATTTGAGCCCCCGAAGGTGTTTTCCGAGTCTACTCCGTAGGTCTAAGCTCCCAACTTGCCTCAGATCATTACCAACATACGGAGTAAATTAAGGTCTTAAGGAGATTCTCTAACGATCGACCCATCCTTACGGGCTGATTTTCCCTCCTGGGATCGACCAAATCTCCCGGATATCTTGTCTCTTAAGCTAAAAAAAAGAAAAAAGATCCGATCTTTTTGTCACTGTAAGTAGAGTTGTTAGTGTGTTCTCTATTCCCGCCCATATCCAAATCTCGGCAGGCCCGCTCATACATCCCACATATCTGCGCGCTGTAACTGTGGCTGACCTTTTCGTTCCACCAAGTTCCACAAGCTCCTTGAATACCCCCTCCATCCCGCGTTCGACCAGTCGATTGAACAAGGTGAAACCTCTCTCTGGAGATCAATATCTGCTTCAAACAGTTAATATTCGGATGGTTGAACTACGGTAGTCTTTTGATGGGATCCAGTGCGTGACGTGCTCTGGCTAGCCCAACGAGCAGAGAGCCCTGGTGATGGTTTGAGGCTTTCCATTCGGCACATGCGCACAAAAGAGATGGCCGACTTACAGTCTCCGGCCTCCATGGCCCACCCATCCCCTGCACCATCCTTCAGATCCAGGTCTCGAGCTCCATCCAATGGAACATCAAGATCAAGACCATCTTTGCGTCGGCAAGATTCCTCCCCACCGTCTTCCTCTCCACCTACCCTCCCGACCCCCGCATTCTCCCCTGATGGACAAACAGACGAAGATGATATCATCGAGGATACCTTATCACCTTTCGACCCGCGCAGGATCACGCCCACCCTCCATGCATCTCTCGTTTCGGAAATTCTCTCGCTGCGTCGGGAGATAGAGAACAAAACCAAGGCAATTGACCGATTAGAAGACAGCTTGGACGAATCAAAGACGGAAAATGAAACATTGACTGCAAATCTCTCCCAGGTGACTTGGGAAGGACGCTCATTGAAACACCAAATCCAACTGCTGGAAGGTGGAACGTCATCTGCGATGACTGAGCTAGCTCGGGAACGCGATGAAGCGGTCGAGAACATCAGTGATGTTCGAAAAAAGCTCGAGCAGGCACAGAAGAAAACACGAAATCGGGAGGAGGACGTTGAACGAACACAATTACTTTGGAGTCGTGATCAAGAGTCATGGGCGGATGAGCGCCGTGCCCTGGAACGAAAGATTCACGTAGTGGAGGGCCGCTTGAAGACCGTTTTGAATGAGGTCGCAGCTGCCCAGGAAGTGGCGGCTATTAACTCGCATTCGCAGCCGAGTGAGAATGGTGACCTTGTTCATGACAAGAATAAAGAAAGCGACTCAGCTAGCGTGGCATCTAGTAGCCTAGGCCGTCGACGCACTAGCGTGACCAGCGTGAGCTCGGAAGAAATTGAAGAGGCGGTTATATTCCATAACGTGCGATACTCGGTTATGAGTGTTGTGCCTCGCGTCAAGAATAGTTCAGGTCTGAACCTGGCGGAAGAACTTGACTTTGATGAAGAGGATGAGTTTGATCCATCTGACGAGGACCTCCCCGCCTCTCCGGAGGCGCTCCCCGAAGAACGTCCAATGTCGGTTCACTCACAGGGGTCATATAGTATTTCTTGCAAGGCTAGGAAGATCCTGGGTCTTTCCCTTCAGAGCTCAGCCCCACACTCACCCACTATGGAGTCCCGTGCCTGGGAACTCCCTAGTCCAGTGAAACTGCACTCGGCATTCGAATACCGCGATATCGGCATCCAGTACTCACCTCCTCCGTCGCCTACAATAGAAGCGAAGGTTGTAGACGGCCTTGTTGCTTCAGAGCCCGAAAAAGATGGCAAAAATGCGAACATACCCGGAACGGAAAATAATCTCATGCTCCCTGTTGCACCTCAGATGGTTTCTACTTCTTGTCAGACTGTGGATGAACTCCCAAGTCCTCCATGGACCGCCAATGTGGCTGAGCCGGCTCAACCTGTTGAATCCACCTCGAAGTCGATACAAATGACATCAGCATCCACTCAGACCAATGCTGTGCCAAAAACAAATGTTGTTCAAAGTGAAAATCGTATCAACTGGTTGCCAGATGATGTCCCACCCAAGATGGACATTCCAATGATCGCCATCCATCCGCCAGGCTCAGAGCCAACCTCACCTCGGAACAGTGTCGTTCTTCCCCCGCAGACTAAGAACATTGCTTGTCAGGCTAACTTCCGGGCAATTGTTGATTGTCGATCCGTCGCCATACAAACCGAGGAGATCCGTATCGATCAACGCCCGGTCAAACTTCCCGCTAGACTTCTTCCTTCTGCTATTCAAGATACACTACCTCGCCCTGGACCCCAGGAGCCTAGCCTCGAGTCTTACACTGTGCCCCCGCTTCCGCCACGGTCTGAAAAACGAAACCAGAGACGTCTGGTAACAGATCAGACAGATGGTCCTGTGAAGCCTCCTAGAGCACCCGATCAAGATCATGTGCAGGCCTACCCCGGTAACAACGACAACGGTCCGCTCTCAGATGATTCCCTGTCCAATATTCGACGACCTTTACGATCTAGCAGTCTCTTCGCCGGCTTTGAACACAACAGCGATGACGAAAGCCCACATGGCGAACGTGATGTCTTCACTGACGATGAGCTCCTCAACCGCCCATTTGCCGCATACACTGTCAGCCGGGGCAAGCTCATCACTACGAAATCAAGACCCAGCTTAGACGATGTGGCTCTCCCCGAAGTCGCCGAGCAGCTGTCCTCCCCCGAGTCAAGGCCACCTGATATTAGCCGTTCTCGGCCTTCCCAGCGGTCTGGCACGGCCTCCTCAAGTATTCGCCAGCCTGGCATGCGCAAAATGGCCATGATCTCAAGCGGAACCGCCGCGCACCAGAAACCCCGTGCCCGCAGCCCCAGCGAACCAAGCCTCGATAGCGGCAGTGCAGGCTCAAGCATTGCACCGCCATTCCCGGTGCCCATCCGTCTAAGCTCACGCAAACTCCCGCTCAACGGCAGACAGTTCTCAGCCCGCGGTCATCAATCCATCATCCGGCGCCCATCCCTCCGCCGAGCGCGTTCCGCTGCCGCAACGTCACAGTCAGAGTTTACCGAGGAACCGGAAACTCGCTCTTCCCCGTCACGATCAATCTCTACCTTTTCCCCAGAAAGTCCTACATACCGACCATACCGACCGCCGCCGCCGCCGCCGCCAATGCCGTGTGATGATATTACAGCACCTCGTGAGCGATATGGGCCCCCGAAACGCGCCTCGCACCGTGCAACTCCGTCTCAAAACTGGAACGGTGAACAGCATGAAAGAAAGGATTCCACCGGCGGCGTGCAGCCGACCAGTGTCGTTGATGCCATTGCTCAGACCATGGTTGGCGAGTGGATGTTTAAATACGTCCGTCGACGTAAATCATTCGGGATGGGCGAGCCCAAGGAAAATTGGGAGGGCAAGAACCCGGACGATGTGTCAGCGAATATCACGAATAGTGGTGTGCGACATAAGCGATGGGTTTGGCTCGCCCCGTACGAAGGCTCCATTATGTGGAGTAGTAAACAGCCTACCAGTGGACCTGCATTGCTCGGCAAGAGTGGCCGGAAGTGTAAGTCTTCAAGAAATCTCATTCAAGTTGATTGGAAGTGGCAGCTAACATAGTATCCCTCCTCATTATAGTCACTATCCAATCCGTCCTGGATGTCAAAGATGACAGCCCCGTACCCAAAGGCGCTGGCTCTTCGATCCCATTCAACCGGTCTATCCTGGTGTTGACACCACAGCGCGCTCTCAAATTCACAGCACTAACGGTCGAACGCCACTATGTCTGGCTAACGGCCCTCTCCTTCCTCAGCCATTCCTCAATGGGGCTCCAAGAACTAGCAGCCCTACCTCCAGTCCCAAAAGAAGAATCCCCAACCCTCCCTCACGCCTCCCTCCGCCGAAACCCAATCCGCGACTCTATCCGCGTCGCAAAGGGACGGCCTCGTCCAATGCCAAAGGGCAAACGCTCCTTCAACAGCGCCGGTGCTCCAGCCCCAGTCCCCGAAATCCCAGTCGACAGCATTGACCTAGCAGCCGAAGCACCACATGTGCCCCGCTTCTCAACCCACGGCCGCAAGCGCAGCAATACCACACCTCGCCCCCCAGCCCTCCGCGCTCTCCGCAGCTTCTCCAGCGCAGGCACTGTGCCCTCTTCACACAGCGGCACCACAGCCGGCTCCTCGGAGCTCCACTTCTCCGCCATGCAGCAGCCCCCAGCCCTACCCCCAGGCATTGGCAGCCGCCGCAGCAGTCTCAGTCGACACCCTTCAGAGACGAGTGGCCGTGCTTCCAGTGTGGCGGGCAGCAATATATTCGATATAGGAACTGTGCGTATGGAGGCCTTCATCGACCACCACGCCGAGGAGATTAATCGCCCCCGTGCACCTCCGCGCCAGCACCATACTCGCAAAACTTCCAGTCAGTGGAGTGAGAGGCGGTATGAGTTTGACACACCTTCTGTCCATGGCAGCGAGTTCTCGTATCGTCCTGAAGATGCGTGGCGGGGATTCTAATTCTAGAGTGGACGATTTTCACTTGCCGTCTCTCTACCATTTTCCTCTCATCTTTTTTTTTCTTGCTTATTACTTACCATATACCTCTTCTCTCTTTCGTTCTCTTTTTCTTTGAACAACATACCTTTTTTTGGCGCAGGTTCACCGCCACATCTATCCGTGGCTTGTCTACATCGTTACTGGACATATATATTTTGTCACTTCCCACCTATCATGTTTATTCTCTGCTTTGCTCACCTCATGCATCTACCACCTGCCATTTGCCATTTGTCGCTTTCGAGTCGATACCATTTTGATTTGGATACCATTTCTCGTGCAGCGGGAGGGAGAAGGGCGTTTCTTTTTTTTTTGATATTTTAACTCTCAGTCCAGCAGATCCTGGATATCTATGTGAATCTTCGTATACATGTCCAAGCATAATGTATAAGTGTTTTATCTGGAGCAGGAATGAAACCTGTAGTATCAACCTTCATCCTGTATTATTCTATCCATGCCCAGGTAGTAAGATGGTAGTCATAAAGGAAATGGATCAAACTCGAATCGCGGGTATAACGTTCGCTAGCGGAGTAAATACAACGTCGTGATATCTCTTGTGATGTGCAGTTGTGGCCTTCCCGCAGTGGACTGGTCCCTCCAAAACCATAACACTCAAAATGTATCGCTGCCTTTTATTTTCAAATTATTCAAAGCTTTGCAGCATCCTTGACCTCGCCAACCTTCAGCTTGGGCGTGTACTTCTTCAGGACAGATTCATTGTGATACTGAACGGTGTTAGTTGCATACTTTCAATAACCGACTCGGCAGCCTCTCGGCCGATTGCCGACAACAAGCTTAGATTTGGAGAAAACAAAAAAAAAAAAAAAGAAGCAGAAGGAAATACGTACCTTCCAGAACTGCTTCGAGGCATCCTTGCCCGCCACACGCTTGAGAATCTTTGCGCCGCCAGGGTGCTCGTCGGCAAACTTGGTTACATCGAAGACATTGCTGTCGATAATGATGTAGAGGCCCTTATCGGCGGTGTTGTGGGAGGCCACGTCGGCAGGGGTGAATGTTTGAGACATTTTTTGAGTGTAGATTGAGAAGTTGGAAGGTGGAAGAATAGAAGAATAGACAAAAAAAAAACAAAGCGAAGAAAAGGAAATAAGTAAATCGGAAGGTGTGACGTATAAAATCCCGAGTCTGGGGGAAAGCGGAGAAGAAACCGAGGTTCAGCTGATTTGCCGCGGTTTGAATTGCCCGGGCGGTGATTGGTTGAAGGGAATTGATGCCTGAGGTGTTAGTTTTTATATTTGAGGATATGATATCCGAACTATACATGTATGTTGTACATGTATTCAAACTATTCAAAACTTTTTTTTTTCAAATGTTCTTTAGTCTGTACATCCTATATCCACTCTACTCTCGACTCTTCTCCCCAACCGCCCCTTGCCCCTTGGGTACTTTGCGATCCAACCCCAGACTCTCCAAGTCCTTCTTCTTATAGTAATGGGGCGCAACCTCAACCAACCATTCCGGCTGCAGCGGCATATTACTGCGCATGTACTCCTTGCTAGTAAGCACCAATTCAAAGTAGATTACCCAGCGAGGGTTAACCTCCATAAGCACACTAGATGGATGCAAATACACTGACTGTCCATTCTTGATAGTGCGGTAACTGTCACCGCCACGCTGGAGTCGCGCCGCATTGGGGAAGAATCCAGCCGTGATCGCCTTTTGGATTGGCTGAATATTCGTAGAACCACAGGTACTGACAGCGACCTCGACGCGGTCGCACAGTTTGGCGAGCTGGTCACGCACATCGCGCGCCCGCGTCAGACTGCGCTGCTGCAGGAAGTTCTCTTTCGCCCAGATTACGCTGAAGTCTGAGTCAACCCATTGGTTCCAGACATTCAGGAGCGTCAGATGGTCGCCGCCGTCTTTAATGGTGAACCGGTTACGCGCACTGTCGGCGTGGATCTTCTTGTCCTTAGGTCGGAAGAAGAGTGCGCTGCCTTCGCCGAGCATCGACACGATCGACAGCACTTCTTCTACGCATCCATATTTATCAGCGGCAAGGATCGCCTTGGCGAGCATCGGGTCCGTTGGGAACTCGGCCATCTGCCGGCCGACCTTGGTCAGCTCGCCTCGATCGTTGAGCGCCCCGAGTGCATATAGCTGTTCCAAAGCGCGGATGATGGTCTCCGCTGGCGGTGGATCCATGAAGTCGAAGTCGAGTAGTTGATCGATTCCCAGCGACTTCAGCATCAGAATCACTCCGTTCAAGTTAGTACGTTGAATCTCCGGAGTGGTGTTCTCTTCCAGCTCGTTATAGTACGCCCACTTGGTATACAGGCGAAAACACTTGCCTGGCCCGACACGTCCAGCACGTCCGGCTCGCTGGTTGGCAGAGGCACGCGAACACGGCGTCACGACCAAGCTCTCCATCCCGCTACGTGGGTTGAACACGTTTTCTTTGACGAATCCTGGGTCAATCACGTAGACAATACCATCAATGGTTAAACTGGTCTCGGCGATGTTGGTGGCAAGTACCACTTTTCGCGCTTTAGGCGGAGTAGGCTCGAAAATCTTAGTCTGCAGTTCAGACGGCAGGTTGGCGTAGATAGGAGCAATAATCATCTCTGGAATCTTACTCCCAAGTTTTCGAGCCGTTTCTTGTAAACTTTGCTCGGCGGCCTCGATTTCTTCTTGTCCAGTCAAGAAGACCAAAATATCTCCAGGTCCTTGCGTGACGTGGATCTGGAAGACCGTTGTGATGGCTGCAGCGAGGTAGTTGGCTTCAGGCTGTGAAGTGTAGTGCACGTCGACGGGGTATCGACGACCAGGGATATTGAAAATGGGCGCATCGTCGAAATACTTCTGGAACTTCTGCGCGTCCATCGTCGCTGAGGAAATGAGCAGCTTCAGATCAGGCCGTGCCTTGGCAATATCTTTGAGCAGACCACAGGCAATATCTGTTGGCACTGTCCGTTCGTGCGCCTCGTCAATCATTAAGGCCGCGTACTGGCTCAGGTCTGGCTCTGTCAACAGTTCTCGCAGCAACATTCCATCGGTCATATACTTGAGAATGGTCTTGTCGCTGGTGTTGTCCTCAAATCGGATGGCATAACCAACTTCATTTCCAATCTTAGTGCCCATTTCATCCGCCACACGAGCAGCAACACTCATGGCCGCCACTCGTCGCGGCTGCGTGCAACCAATCTTGAGGCCATCCTTAGTATAACCGGCCTCGTGGAGGTACTGCGGGATCTGTGTCGTTTTACCGGAACCAGTTTCACCAACGATAATCAAAACCTGATGCTTTGCCACAGCCTGAATGATCTGATCACGAAATTGATAGATAGGCAAACTCTTGCGGGTCTCATCCATCGAGAGGGCTTTTTTCTCCGCTGCATCAACCTGCTCCTTGAACTGCAGCTGTTCCTTAGTCATTGGTTTCTGTGTACCGTCGAGTTTGGCGTCCATAACGAAGCTGATCTGCTGCGAATCGTCGAAGACATACTCGTAGTCTCCCTCGTCCACGAACTCGGCCTTTTTGATCTGTGCCTTGGCCTTGGCCGCCTGTTCCAGCTCCCACTCCTCGTGCTCTGTGACAAATCGCTCTTGGCCCAGCTCATCGCGCTCGACGTACCGCTTGTACAGGGCTTCTTCCTTCTTCTTCCGGTCGATCTTCCCCTTCTCGGTAATATAATCAGACGGCATCTGATAACCATCGCGGTGGTCGTCGATCCGAAGCCGTTCCTCGGCGAGACGAAGGACCTCTCGGTTGCGCGCGAATTCCTCCTTCTCCTTACGAGATAGATTCGGGTTCTCACGCAACTCCGCAGCCTCCTCTGCAACCTGTCGTCGCAGAAGTGCCAATCTTTCTGTCTCACGCTTCTTCAAGTATTCCTGTCGAGATCTTTCTCGCAGATCGGGCATCATCGAAGCCCGCGCGCTCGCATCATCGCCCAACGCACGTCGCCGTGCAGCCTCACCATCACGTGTCCGATCCTCAACAATCTTCTTCGACTTGATACTTTCCTTATTGGCCAGTCGTTTGGCAAACTCGTCTCGTTCACGAAGATCTCGTTGGCGGTCGATCTCTTGCTTAGTCTTAGGGTCGATATCGATATCGTCGGCCAGTGACGCAGGATTAGGAGACGCAGAACCATCGTCGAGCCGCGTACGCTTTGAGGGGGACTCTTCAAATTCCTCTGGGTACATCTCGTCTTCGGGGATCTCTTCATCACCCCATCGATCGTCGAAGTCCTGGGAGCCCTTCTTGCGGAGCTTCCTCGTCCGTGGCCGGTCGCGACCCTCTGCATCGCGGCTTCGGTCTCGCTTTCGGCTCTCGTCCTTTTCTCCGCGACTCCGAGGCTCGAGGTCTCGCTTGCTGCTGCTCCTGTCCTTGTCGCTGTCTCTGTCCCGTCTCCTCCGTCGCTCTCGGTCGGCCTCGATTTTGGTTGGTCCTAGCAATAGGGCGGGCTCTGGTTGGTCTTCACCCATGTCTACCAGCCGGTACTTCTTTGTCGTGGATTCCTTGCTCATCGCGAGTTTGGGGGCAGACGCGCTGGGCTGCGCGCCCTTGCCCATGCGAGCATGGAGTTCCCGAGCAAAGGCACCAATTTCAGCTGGGCTAGCATCTATTCCATCGAGGAAGGACACAAGAGTATCTTGGAGGGAAGAGGTAGACTTGGCTGAGCTGGCGGTCGCGAGCACGAAATCGATGACGGTGGGCTCCGACGCACCCGTTAGGCGGATGAGATTGTCCGACACGAAATCTTTAGTGTTCATGATGTGTGATACGGATAGTTCTTGTGGAAGGAAGATATTAAGAGGTTGATGCGCAGGGAGGAGCTTCTTCGTGAGGTGGAGAGGTAAAATGCGGTTATCGTGCGGATTCTAAAAGTAGCAGCACATGTTGCACAGAATATCGAGGTCTAATAAGCCAAGCTCAATGCTAGAGAGAGTCTTGCAGGCAGCATACGACATGAGCCGAAGTTCGATTCTGGATTCAAAAGATATGAGGGGGGTTTTGGAACAAGAAATTGGAGAAGTTTGCGCAAAACGCCAAGAAATCCCGTGGCAATCCAAATTCGAATACTCAGGCACTACCGCAATATATATATATATATATACATCGCAACATTTAGGAATACTACTTGCACGTCGATCTCTAAAATATTTCATCGCATTTTAAATAGGAAAAGGTGTTTAAAGAATCGATATTTTCACCAAACCCTACATTTCATAGCATTCCATAGCTACATAATCTTTCTAGCTATAACCTATAAACTGGTAATATCGCTTTGTACATATGTAATTATATCATGTTTATGTTTTATACCAGATGCCTCTATCGCATAATTTTTCACCCTTCTTTGAAACGGCGGTATAAGTATATATATATGTATATATATCTGCATATATGTATGTATGAACCGGAATGGAGATCTATCTCTATGTCCATGTACATAATCTTTATCTCATTAAGAATTAGAGGCAAATTGGATGCTACTCGCTCTGTTTTGTCCCCCTTGTTAGTTTTAAAGGTAGATGGCTTTTCCATGTATAAGCCTTTACACTTTGAATTCTACAATTGAAGATGTTCATAGGATATCATTTCAATTCGTAATTCCACAATTGCTATACAGACATGGAACCCAGGTATCCAACCAAAGACACCAAGCTAGCAGAGAAGATCACGCTCAAAGGACATGGATAGGGAATCATCACTGCCCAGAGGGCACACATTCATCATGAGAAAAAGCAAAGAGAAGCAAAGATAGCAGTGATGTTTCCAAACCAACCGGGGTATGCCGTTCAGACCAGATATCAGCCCTGGAAAAGAATAATCGCTTTGGAGCAATTCATCTCAAGGACAAGACGATAAGACACGTTGGAATGAATACGGCAGAATGCCAGAATGGCCTTGATCATTTCCAGAAGCAAGCACCTTGCGAGGTTGGTACATTTCTGGCATCTCGAGACGCTAGGTATTGAATCGTACAAAAGGAAAAGAAAAAAAAAAAAAAAAAAAAAAGATCCTCGAAATAGGGTAAGAACCCTTCGGAAACTCCAG